TACCGTTCTTCTTCTTTGTAGCGAAAAACACGTCTTGCTGATCTCGGTTCGGTGATACATAGTCGCACAGAAGAAGGAAGAAAGATCCGAGCGCGAAACCCTCGTAAACGTGAAGCCAGGGCTCGATGTAGACTGCTGCTTCAGGAAAGCAAATACAGAGGAACGAGATGATGGAGAACGCCGAAATCAGTGTGCCGATTCTCATAATCCTAGGGTTATTAGCACGTATACTCGGTTTGGAGAGTTGGCTGCGCGTACTTGACTTGTTCTGAAGGGTTCGAGAGATGCGTTGCGTGCATCATGTTGATGAAGAACATGACAATAAGAGCGAAAGCAGCGAATGATCCGCCAATGATCATGCTCAGCTGGTAGAAGCTCAAGTTACCGGTGATGTTCTTCTCGGCATCTGTCGCATGTTAGCTAGAGGTCAACGCGTTGGCGGGGCTGGTAGTACTTTGGGCGAAGGAATGTGTAGGGCAAGTAACGTTCGACTTGTCGTCGTCGCCGCTTCTAAAGAGACCCATCGTGGTGATGTTCTATAAAGTCAATGAAAAAGAAAAAAAGAAACAAGTATATGCTGAGATGTAGTCGCTTGTCTGTTGTGAAGATGAGATATGAATTTTCGCAACTGGCGACAGAAGCTCAATATATACAGATCCCGACGGCGTCATCCCCAAGCTCAATCCCTGCAATGAAACCCTCAAATCTAAGCGCAGTATCAGCACAGCCAGCTATGGATCAGCGTCAGCCCTACGGCATAGCTCTCCCACCAAAACGGCCATTGATACGACCGATCTGCCGACATTGGCACCTTTTCTGTATCGTTGAACAACGGGGTCCTCCGCGGGCGTGTCCGGCAGATGCAGGGATTAGCATGTCAGCCTCTCATAGCTTGCCAGGGGTTTGGGAGCTTGGGACGTGTAGGGCTGTTGTGATTTGCTGGTTTAAGTGAGAGCGGCCGGCTGGCTTACTTTTGTGGCTGTACCCTGTCGACGTGAAAAGTCGCTCTTGAGAGGAGATGATAGGGCAGTGGAAGTAGTTGAATCCACTCTGTTCAACACTCTGCCAAGAGATTCATCTGGAGCCTTACATATCCTTTCCAAGTTTAGCTTCAACCATGTCCTGTGTCGTGATAGGATCAACAAGCTCTCCAATCTTGACGCGGAAAAAGACCTCTTTGATGAGATCTCAAATTGAAACAAGATAATGACATTGATGCGTGTTCTTGCGGCCTCCCAGGCAGTGCGAGATCGGCAGTCGTAGCTCGAATAAATTCCTGCTTTTAGCATTTCCATTCGAACGTGGCTTAGAGGAGTGACGGTGTCGCTCGAATGGTTCGTCAAAAGCGGTCTAGCTTCACGTTGATCAAAACAAAACCCCACCACGCGTTTAGATAAGGCGGGAAATCGGCACGATAAGGAAATTATCGAAACCTTTGCTCAATGCGGCTTGAATCAGGGACGATCATATCGAATTGGTTTCAGAGCATGAGATTATCCATGTTGAAGGATTTCAAAGGATCCGCGAGGCAGTCTTTGTCATGTCTCTTGGAAAACCTCTACCGAAGCCTCTCGACACATCCTTGCCACTAGCTTGACGCGAAGGTGTCTCGAAGCTTTGTGTGACATACCCTATACAACGTAACACCCGTTAGTTTGCGGACCAACAAAGTTACTCATTGAGAACAGTTGTCAACAAAATGCATAGATGAATATGTATTTCGGAACTCAAAATCAAGTTTGGACTACAATAATCTGAGCTAAGTAGATCCAAGAATCCTCATGAGAACGGAGAATCGGAAGATGTCTTGCCGTCTTCGCATCTTGCGTACGCTGGTTATAGATAAGAACTCTGCATAAAATCATGCTCAACATTTCTTATCCGACTTTATTTTTTCCGCTAGCTTGACATACTCTTCTACACATGATAATCGGACCCCAATATCCCCATCCTAGCATAGTCTCTGAGCACTTTCGCTCCTGCGCTTACTCTTCACTTCAGAGCTGACCCTGCGTGCAATCCCCCTACCGTACAGTCAGTAACTATATATCCAATTGATAACCTGGAAACAAACCTGTGACAAGCATATCTGCACCTGTTGTGAACGCAGCTGCATCACTCAACAAATAGCACACCATAGGTGTGAAATCTTCCGGCACGCCCAGCCGTTGTAACGGGGCTCCATTTTCGTACCAGTCAAGGATAGCCCTCTTCTCTCCCAGTAGACGTGCCAGTAGAGGGGTCTGGATTGCCCCTAAACCATTATTAGTGTCATGACTAAGATTGCCGAAGACGATGTACCTGGCGAGATGCAGTTAACCCTGATGCCATATTGACCCAGCTCGCCAGCCAGGGGACCCATCAGACCCTTGATAGCAGCCTTGCTGGCGTTATAGGCGGATTTTGGTTGTACTGGAACGTAAAGACTTTGTGCATTGATGCTGGCGATCGCAACAATACTTCCAGGCGTTTTGGTCTCGACAAGATGCTGTGCGAGAAGCTTGATAGTCCAATACGTCCCCATGACATTGACATTAAGGACTCGCTGGGTGACTTCCCAGTCAGCATCAAGCAAGGGGGTATCCATCACAATACCAGCCGCCGTGAGCACTCCATGAAGCTGTCCGCCCATGGCATCAACACACTCGGCGAAAGCCTTCTCAAGGGAGTCTTGCCTGGTTACGTCGCCTCGAGTGTAAAATATCTTGACACCATAGCGACCACTCAGAGATTTGAACTCTTCTACTGGTTCAGGAGCTGTGTCAATGACGGCGACGCCGCCACTGAGTTGGGCTATGGCTTTGGCGCAGGCGAAACCAATACCTCCACCTCCTCCTGTGATGAGGAAGTTCTTGCCGGTTAAATCAAATCGATCTGTGACTTTGACGTCGCCAAGACCTCGGGGGCTGAAGGTTGTCATGATTGCAAAGTGATGTGAAGCTACAAGATTACTCGTGCTTGGGAATCCTCTTAAATAATATGATGATTCTGCTTATATATAACCCCATACAGAAGACTGGCTTGAATTAGTGGCTATATAGTCTATTTGCTATGAGTTTCATCCATAACGGCTTCTTCTGCCGCAAGCTCTAACTATGTGCCACGGGTTCAGAAGCCGAGGAGGCTAGGCGGGGTAATCCACTGTGTTACTAGATATGCTGAGGGGAGGAAAGAAAACTCAGGACCCCGATCCTAAATGATAAAATATATAGGTAATTTAGCCTATATTTAGGATACCCTTTGCTGAGTGTATTCTAGTACCCTCTCTTTTAGCCTGAAGCTTTCTTGCTCCTGGAGGATATGGCCAGGTTTGGTGTTGAAACCGACGTCTTTGAGCTTTTTGGACTTCTGCCAACGACTGTTAGCGCGGAAACATTCCCAACGCGCCAAAGTTGCCGGTTATCAGATAACGGCAGCGCTCCCGAGAATTCTGTTCTTCTATATGATAATCTCTAGCTATATATGTACCAAGGCGAGATGTGATACACATAGCAATCCCTGTGTGTTTTACAGATATCCCTTTCTCATAAGCTACACTCCTATTCCAATCAGTCTTTGTTCATCATTTGAGTCCCATCACTCATACCATGACTGAAACCGCGAAGACCAAGCCCCGCGTCAGCCTTGGGCTCTTGACATTCGGCCCCGAAGGATCAGAAACCTATGGAAGCCGCATTACCTCCCTTGACACCTTCAATCAATGCCTCGACTACTTGCAGTCCCGCGGTTATAATGAAGTCGACACAGCCAGAACCTACGTCGGGGGCCAGCAAGAAGGCTGGACCAAGCTTACCAACTGGCGAGAGCGCAACCTTACTCTCGCTACAAAATGGTATCCTTACAAGCCTGGCAATCACTCCAAGGCCATTGTTAAGGAGAACTTGAACAAGAGTCTTGGCGAGCTTGGTTCCGATAGCGTGGATATCTTCTACCTTCATGCACCAGATCGTTCAGTTCCGTTCCAGGAGACGCTTGAGGCTTGTAATGAACTCTATCAAGAGGGAAAGTTCAAGAAGCTTGGCTTAAGCAATTATGCGGCATGGGAAGTTGCTGAGCTTTGCACAATTGCTGACCAGAAGGGCTGGGTCAAACCAAGCGTTTATCAGGCTATGTACAACTGCTTGACCCGCGCCATCGAAGAAGAACTAGTCCCATGCTGTCGAAAGTTTGGGATGGATATTCTCGTCTACAATCCCTTGGCTGGTGGTGTACTTTCAGGTCGCTACAAAAGCAAAGAGATCCCAGCTGACGGTGGACGATATTCTACCCAGGACCCGGTGATTGGGGCGATGTATCGCGACAGGTACTTCAAGGACGTCAACTTTGAGGCTTTGAAGGTGATTCAGCCAGTAGCTGATAAATTGGGGTTGACGCTCTTGGAGATTGCGTTCAGATGGCTTGTTCACCATAGCAAGCTCAAGGTTATGGATGGGAATGATGGGTTAGTTATTGGCATCAGCTCTCTAAGCCAGCTTGAGAGTAATCTGGATAATGTTGAGAAGGGTCCGTTGCCGGAAGAGGTGCTGGAGGTATTAGACGAGGCATGGAAGATCACCAAACCTTCTTGCTCTCTTTACTGGAGGTAGTGTTATTGATGTTTCCGCTCATGAATCGGTCGATGAACAAGAAGCTGTTCCTGTGTAATACGGACGTGACTGGTGATTAATCCCGCTGAGTTGTTGATTCTGTTTTAACTTCCTCATCACTTCGCCCTGTTATTGACCCCAAGATGTCTTGCTTACATTGTTATGTCTGATGATTGGTTTTCCTTCACCCCGCTATTCCGATTTCAGAACAGGTGCCATCTGCCCAATCCAGCCAAGCGTCATAATCATGGTGTTCTCATGACAGCACAGCAACGCGTTGCGACACGAAAACACTCATCAGAAAAATAACACCCCGTCCTTTGTCCCCACCACTCACCTGAAGCCACTAGCAACGGGAGAATATACAGACGTTGTTATCGCCTTCGTCGAATCCATTTCTTCTGAGCTGACAGAATGGTCCGCGCGTCTGCATTTTTGATCTTGAGCCTTTTCGGCTCAGCTCTCGCTGTCGCCGCGCCGCAGTTCGACCAAGGTGCCGAGCTACGCAAGTCAGAATGTGATGCAAGTAGCTCCCATCACATCTATGAGTTCCTGCCTAACACATGCCGCAGAATGGCTGCTTTGATGCCAGCTTTCCGGGAGGTTCATGTACCAATGATCCGGCCTGTATGTGCACCCAGAAGAAGTACCGCGAGGCGTATTTCTGCTGCATGGCCAAGAAATGTGATGCAGATGTGATGCCTGGTCAGTATACTCAAGCTTTAGAAGACCGAAACCCTCTAATGATCTACTTGCAGAATCTGTCGAGCGCCAACATACAGAGTGCCAAGCCAGGAACCTCGACTTTACCTTTGACGCTGAGAAAGTTTGCGGTATGAAGTCAGAAGGGACCAGTACCTGTTCCTTGTCTTCAACCACGAGAAACACCAAAACTACTTCGCATGTTTCACACGGACCTTCAGCGACATCGAGTCCGGCCGCTACGACATCAGAGCCAGAAACTACCAGTAGCACCAAGGGCGCAGAGAGCGTTTCAAGTACTGCTCAGAAATCATCTACAGGTGGTGCAGCCCCTGCGAAGGACAGTGCATCACGGTTGGGTGCCTCTCTTGGGGCAATGAGTATGTTATTCATGGTCGTTGGGATGCTCCTCTAGGTCGAAGCACTCGCTTAGATGAACATGCATGGCAGCATTAATTAACAGTGCCACTATCCCTCATCATCTTCCGCCGCCTCAATCGAGAGGTCTTCTTCCATAAGTTGAATATCTGTTATGTTAGTAGCTGGACGTCAACAAGATATACTACACTTACACGGGCCAGTAAGCATGAATGGTCCTGTCATTAAGGTCCCTTCTGACCTTTGCCAAAAAGATCGTAACCTCTTCCTGCGTCCACCCAAGAACTCTCGTCAAAGCTGCCATGGACAATGCTTCAAGACCCTTGAAACTATCCATGTTGAGATTGTTCCACTCACCAATCTCCTTACACCTTTTATCCAGAGGCCAGCAGTTCGTTGGCCACTTAAAAACAGTCTGTACAATATCCACAAATCCCGCATCGCGCAGAATATCCTTGTTATTTTTGTTGTCCTGAAACGGGCGACCAATCTTGGTGGATGCTTCGTCAAGAAGGTGGATAAGCTTAGAGAGGTGATGGTCTTCAGTCAGGGTTTTGTCGTCTGAGTGGGCGAAGAGATCTATTTCTAGAAGTTCCACGTAACCACCAGGCACAAGGTTGCTAAGGTAGCAGTAATCAGCATTATTGTGCTGAAGGTAGTCTAGATCTTACTCGTAAACATTGCTCGCAAGGTTTGGCCAGCTCTTGATGCTAAATGTCATCATCCGACTGTGAACATAGTCGAATGGCTCAGAGAAGTTCCACGGTTCTTCGATATCATCGATAAAGAACTCCACGTTCGGAGGAACACTGATCACTGTCAGCAGATATCCTGCAGCGTTGGCTGTTAGAGATACAAATCAGGCTGAATCGGCGAGAGGTCGACACCGATCACTGTTGCTTCGGGATGCTCGTCGGCGTAGTCAATGGCCCATATTCCTGTCCCGGTGCCAACGTCAAGAACACGCTTGGCATTAGAATTAGGATCATTCGGAGGTGCGAGACCGAGTTTGTTGTCGAGCATCAAAATAAACAGGTTATGCTGCAAGTCTAGCCGAAAGAATCAGCAGTGAAGACAGCCTCTCGAGGCTTTTCCATACCAAGTCTCTCCTTCTCGACGTCGTCATTAGGAAGGTTATACTCTGTGATCATCAGTCAACTGTAACAACACAACAACGAAAGAGACTGACTCCCATCCTTATATCGATGATAAGTCCTCCCATTTTCCTTTCGATAGTCTAGAATGGAGCTCCTCAAGCTCTCAGACGTGGATGCTACGCTCTTTTCCCCAAAGTCAGGTCGGTAACGTCAAATATTCGTGAGAAGCGACCTACTGATCCAATAGACGAGTCATGCTCTTCGCCAGACTGAAATTCGCAGTTAGTGAGTCTCCTTGTAGTTCATGGTAACTGGTAGAAGAACCTGTTCATCCGGTATGAGGTCAGGCTCCGCGTTGATGGTTGGTTCTGCCATTTTGATAGAAACTATTTAATCACGCAACGTTGAAAACCCCCCCGCCCGGAGAAAATCATGCTTTTTTATAAGGAAATACAATCCCAGTCGAACTTTGTCATCCTGTTGGTTGAGTTCGTCGCGCATATGCAGATGGGTTACCAGGGTTTGATCATACGACGTCCCAAAGTAGCGAGTGTTTTGGTTAAGGTCTAACTATTTCGCCTAAACCAATCTATGGTGAGAATTCCACAGGGGCAATCTACGTCTGACAATTCTCCTTGTGCTCTGAGATCATTGATATAAAATAGTTACTTAGTCGCTGTGTTCATAATCACGCAAGCACTCGTTCTATGCACATAATAAGTTGCCAAAAAAATACTCATTGGCAATCTATCTACCCCCTCATTCTAGACTAATACTCGTCAGATACCTGATAGCTCCAAGAACCTTCTAGAAAATTTCCTCCGTTATGATATCGTATTCCTCCCATCGATCCCCCTTTTTTTGTAGCCTTTCCTCGACTTTTCATATTTTTTTCTAGTTAGTTTTTCTCTTTTCTTTCCGAAGCTCGCCACCGCCCTGGTAATTCATCAACTATTCACTGATCCTCTTGAAGATAGAAGAACGGGAAACTTATTGACAAGCTACCCAGGACATCCTCACCTAGTAGTGGTGGTGGTGGTGGTCATGGTGGTCACGGCTCTCACGACGACCCTGTCGGCGGGTTCGTATTGAACACGGGGAGGATGGCCCATCTGGAAGTACTGGGGACGTTGCTCACCTTGCTGAGCAGGATACTGCTGAGCAACGCGATGGCCACGTGGATTGTTCTGAAACGGCTGGAACCGCGGAGCATCCTGGAAACGAGGTTCATTCTGACGCTGAAGTCCGTTCTGGCGCTGGGTTTCATTCGGGAACATATACGTACGGACACCCCCCTGTGGGCGCTGGCCTGTAGGGGGATATTTGGGCTGGGCAGTAGCTCGCTCTTCCTCACAAGGAGGGCAGATCCAGAGGCGCCACTCCAGCTCCACCTCGACTGGAGAAGCACAACCTGGACAAACACTGGTGATCTCGGGGTCGTAGAGAGAAGCGTTGTCCTTGACGGCTCCGCAAAAGAAACACTCGTGCTTCCAGAAGGTAATGGGACACATGGTTGAGGATGAGGAAGAACTTTACTTTTGAGTGCTGTTGGTGGTGTATGGTGAGTGAATGTTGAGATGATATGTGAAGGTTGTTGTCAATGTGGATGAGATGATGGATGATGATGGATTTGGAGGCGATGGGTTGGGTCTATTTAAAGGATTTCAGTCAACAATGCGTAAGTGATAAGATGTCCTCCATCACTCGCAGTAAATGTTGATGTTCAGCGTGAAAACTACGATAGTTTACTTGAACTCTTCATCATGCAGTCTGTTGCCGTTTGAACATCTGGACAAGCATTGAGGTCGCATATCATGGCCACCATTGAACTGTATTATTGACTCTCATATAGCCTCTCCACTGAACGTCGTTCTCATCAATGCTGTTCAACGTGTCGCCAATAAAACAGTCACCATATCTGGGTTTCAACAGACAGTGATGTACAGTAGTGACCTTAGGCAAAGAATCAAAAGCCGAACAAATCACGTCAATGCTAAAATGGCGGTTGGCTACGGTAATTCAGTATTGGTTCAGCAGTTATCAGGGCTAATGCGATATTGCTCTTGAGGGATTGATCTACCAATGGCTCATGATTACCGGACTAACAAAGAAATAAATCTACCAGTACCGAATGCATAGGTAGCTAGTACATACTCTGTTCATACTCAAACTTGTATGAAATATCCTGGTAAAGCGACATAGGATTGGACAGCCAGTCAAAAGTCTTGGCCAATACCATGCAGCCCACAACCAGTGATAATTGCTGACTGTGGGCCGCTCACTTTCAGGCAGCACTTGAAATTTCATGGACACCCAAACTACTATGCCGATCGTAAAAATCCAGTATCAAAAATGACCGCCTCGAGACATACCACGGATGAAAGCCTCTGCTCAAGATGTAAATCACTAGACCTCGACGATATCCTGTCCGGTCGTTGGACCGATGTTCAATGCCGGGAGCCAGTAGCCCTCTTTGGCAAGCGAAGTACTATTCTGCATGATAAAGACTGTCCCCTCTGCCAGGCGCTACTTTCTATCGCCGCGGGCGATCATGACACTGGCCCCCTACGAAGAGACGAGAACTTTTGCATGTTCGCTATTCCAAGCCAGCTCGCCTACAGAGGAGCAAAACAAACTATCCCGTTTGATGTGGACTTAGTTGATCGGGTTTTGGAACGAGCCAAAGATCAAAAAGATTCAACGTGGCTAGTTGTTCGGATTCAGCGCGGACCTATGGATGGCCCCTTCTGGTACAATAACCTACCACGGTCTGCTCATTACTTTGGTTGTTTGGCCAATCTTTCTGACACTTTGAATGGAGTCCGTCAGCGAGTCAGGCTGATTAACCCCGCAAAGGCTGACTTTGAAGCAATAAAGCGATGGCTCACCCATTGCATGGAACAGCACGGGACATTATGCAACCCGGATTCAGAAAGCCGGTCCCTGCCAGTGAGCATCGCTGTTATCAATTGTACAACTCGGGACCTGGAGCCTTTGCCAGCCGGAGCAAAGTTCGCAGCTTTGTCGTATGTATGGGGAGAGAGAACATCTACAACCGAGTCATATCCTTCCATGACCAGCCTTCCGCAGACTATCGAGGATGCAATTACTGTCACGGCCGAGGTCGGTATTCCGTTCCTCTGGGTAGACAGGTACTGCGTGCCACAACAAGATTGTCCTCAGAAGCGAGAGCAAATCCAGATGATGCACAAGATCTACCGTCAAGCAGACTTGACCATCATCGCCGCTGCCGGGGACAGCTCATGCTATGGCCTGCCAGGGATAAGCACTCCTAGAGCCAGAGCGCCATCGGTAGATCTTTGTGTTGGGAATCATCACCTAGTCTCCACTGGCCGAAGTGTAAAAGAAGCAATTCGAGGCACGGCATGGGCGTCCCGAGCATGGACTTACCAAGAGGGCCTCGTGTCTCGAAGGAAGCTTATTTTTACCGATGAGCAGGTATACCTTCACTGTATGGAGCGTGAGTTCCGGGAAACCATCGAACAAGATTTGGACCTTTTAGCTCAGGCAGATGTCTCTGATCTATCCGATCCCTTTCGCTGCAGCATATTACATTTTATCCCGGAGAATGCCGGCACGGAAGGTGTATACTCACTCACGGGAGACTTTTCCGAACGAAGAATAACGTATCCCAGCGATAGACTGAATGCGTTCCTTGGTATTCTCAACTTATTCCAAGATGCATTTCCAGAGTCTTTTCGTCATATATGGGGTCAGCCGATTCCATACAGTACCGACATGTCAGTCGCGGACGTCGTGGTTTCTGCTCTTAAATGGCATATAGTAGGCCTGGCGCAGAGGCGACCGGATTTCCCGAGCTGGTCGTGGGTTGGCTGGAAGGGACAGGCATACCCATCAGCCAACAGCGTCTATAAAGAGGATATAACAGCCTCTCTTCTGCTGAAAGATGGCACTGTTATAGACGACGCTGAAATGTTGAGGAATTTGGATACCTTCCAGAGTCTATCTGCATCGTTGAGTAAGTACATCCTGATCCAGGCTCAGACTGTTCACGTGAAAATACGCCGAAAGGAAGGAGTCTACTGGAATCTTCGGAACATGTGGAAATTGTCTCTTGTAAGGGGTGGCACTGAGCGACATGGAATCACTTATCATGATGGCTTTCTCATAACACCGGAGTACGAAGCGGGTGATAGCATATACAAAGATTTGGAAGCGGGGCATACTTGGCTCGGAATAGTATTTCTGAACTCTGACATGGTCTTGGTCTTGAAGGACATGGGAGACTATTATGAAAGGTTCGGATATATCGATGTTGACTTTTCCGTCCCTGATGTGGAACTGGGGGATTATCTACTGGGGCACAGACTTATCCGCTTAGGGTGATTATCTAGATTATTGCTGTTGAAACCATGGATCTGCACCCTATATGTTTATAAATATTCAGATGTTCATATACTTTGTCGGTGAAGGTTAATCGCTCTAGTCTCCATTAATCACTCCACCACTGACTGCTAGGAGATCTTTGCCTTTGAGTTCGTGTAACGATTCGGAAGTCTGCTTGCTATCTTGAAGCCAAACATATGGTGACTATTCAAAACCACTCCAAGTCTTCTGGACAGCGCTCCAATATCTCGCCTCATCTTTCCTTGCATGTGCAACATGAAGAGACCCATCAAACTTCTCCAGATGAACATCAAACCCCAGCTTCCCCGCCTCAGCAGCCTGCGCCTCCAGATCTTTATAATCAATCAACTCATCCTCCTCACTATAAATGTATGTTCGTCGAATCTCACGCTCCCTCTTGCCCTGAGCGGTATTATGCGTCGAACCCCAGAAAGCCAGCCAGTCTTTTGTCAGACCAAGGAACTTGGTGAACTGTCCTATAGCTGCAACCAAATAGACAAGCGGCATACAAACCCAACGATATGACTTTGGAACAGTAGATTTGAAGAACGCGGCTGTGTTGGTGAGGCGCTGAGCACCCGGTGCTGAGTCAAAGACTGTTACGTGAGGCGGAAGCCAGGGATCTTCGCCTTCTTGAGCAGTTGCAGCATACACATCATATAACGATGAGATATTTGACGAACCGCCATTCGAAAAGAGATGGATCATAATTCCTGTGGCAGCCGTTGATGTTGGGGCAGCTGGGAATGAGGCTCTGATAACCGGCACCGCTGGTTTCACTGACTCTGCGAGAACTTTAGGGTCGAAAAAGCTCTTGTTATAACTCTTCACAAGAACAAGCTGCGACGACGGGTATAGTTCCTTGTGCTTATCGACGTATTTGGCGATATGGCCATCAAGCGCGTTGGTCCAACTGGCGATGATGATAATCTTCGGAGAGTCCGGCGCGGTAGGTTCAGAAGGGCGGTAAACAAAGACTTCATTCGAAAGCTTCTCCATATAGGAGAGGGGCTTTGCCTGTGCGCTCATATTTGGGAGCGGTGCAGAGATTATGAATGGTGATAGATTTGTGGCGCTGCATTCGAGGTCAAAAGGCGTTGATTGCCGATATTTGTGTTGCTGATGGTGCTTACGCGATCCTACGGCTTGGGTGAGATCTGACGCGGCGGGGTAAGTAATAGCGCGCTTGATTATAGCGTCTAGTCGGATTAGATGAGTAAGTTGACGGTCCAATAGGACAACAAACAAAACGGTTCAAAATGGATATTCTGAGTTGAGGAACTATTGAGTCTGTTTCATGAGTTGAGAAATCTTTGTCGTTGAAACCCTCTCTGGTAGGTTGTATCTTTCCAGGTTGGTTTGGATCGTTGCTGATCCTTCGCTGTCATTACTGAGTCTCGTGCCTCCGGATTGCTTTTCTTCTTCGATCAGCAACTCTCGCAATGGTCGTAGTGATTCCAAGATCACTTTCATCTTCCGGAGAAGTGAAAAGAAGACATCAGGGAAGCCAGTGACCGGAACGTCGTTAACGGAGTATAATGTTCCATCGAGCTGCCCTTTGTCCGGGCCTGCCGATCTCGAACACCCAATTGTATGGTTAAACTTTGGAGCAATACTACATTGCTGCATGTTACCCTTGTCCCTGAATTGAGTCTCGTGCTGTTCTGAGCCTCAATGCCTAACCTCCATTAGCATTGTTGATCCGAGGCTACCAAACCTTGACCAGGGTACGACCCCCATTGTTCGCCGACGAATACCTAAAACAAGCAACTGCATTAGCCCACAGCGTTAATCAATCTGCTGATCTCGGTGGCTAACTTACCGAATCATAGAAGTTATCGCTCCTATCAAAAGAATGCCCCCGCATGCTTCACGAGCCAAATTGTTCACCCTTGCTGGACTGCCGAACTGGTTATGCGTTGCCGATTGGCGCGCATCAACTTAAGCATGGATTCCTCACTTTGCGCGCCAATCATTTCCCCATATTCCCCAGATTTATCACTAACACCCCAGACGATGGGGCTCAATTTCTCCGCAGCGGAATAGAAACAATGACGCTACGTAAAATGACACTACCTCGGCGGAGATGTCATCGTTATGCGACGGTTTAAGCGCGAGGTGACTATATAAGACTCCAATCTTGACCGCATCTTTTGGAGCTCGGCAACCTGCCATCGACAACAAAAACAGGTCTCAAGATGCGTTTCGCCGCCATTGTTTCGTTCTTGCTGCCACTTGTGGCGGCAAAGCCTGCTCAGAAGGGCAAGACCTTTAGCAACGTTGAGATCTTTGATCCTCCTTCCAACTACAACGACCCTCAGGTCCTCTACGCTCGCCCTCTTGAGCTTTCAGATGGTACGCTTCTGGCTACTTGGGAGAACTACTCTCCCGAGCCTCCTCATGTTTGGTTCCCCATTGTCAGGAGCAAAGATGGCGGAAAGACTTGGAAACCTTTCTCCAAAGTCCAGGATACTCAGAACAACTGGGGTCTGCGATATCAACCCCAGCTCTATGAGCTCCCCCGGCGATTCGGAAAGTATCCCAAGGGTACAGTTCTTATCTCGGGCAGCAGTATCCCCACTGATTTGAGTGAAACTCTTATCGAGGTCTATGCTAGTCTTGATAAGGGTGAAACTTGGGAGTTCGTCAGCCATGTTGCTCTTGGTGGCGAGGCCAAACCCGAGCATGGGCTTACCCCAGTTTGGGAACCTTTCCTGATGTAAGTGGAGCTCTGTTAATGCAATGTATCATTCGCTAATACTCTTCAGGACATACAAGGAGAAGCTCATTCTGTACTATTCTGATCAGCGCGATAACGCTACCCACTCCCAAAAGCTTGTTCACCAGACCACCACTGATCTCAAGAAATGGAGCTCTGTTATTGAGGACACCAAGTACGATGACTACTACGCTCGCCCTGGTATGCCCACTGTCGCCAAGCTCCCCAACAACGAGTACATTTACACCTACGAGTATGGTGGCGGCCCCAACCCTCCCGCCGGCAGCACCTACTGGTTCCCCGTCTTCTACCGCCTCTCCAAGGACCCCCAGAAGTTCCTCAACAAGCCCGGTCAGCAGATCATCTCTACCGACGGTGCTCGTCCCGCTGGTTCTCCCTACGTTGTTTGGACTCCTTATGGTGGAAAGAACGGTACCATTGTCGTTAGCTGCGGCACCATGTCTGAGATCTTCACCAACCAGGCTCTTGGTGATGCGTCCGCTTGGAAGAAGTGGAGCGTTCCTCAGCCTACAGCATACACTCGTGCTCTTTTGACCTTTAAAAAGGATCCTGATCTGCTTATGATTATGGGCGCAGGTATTCTTCCTCCTGCTGGTGGAAACAACACCGTCAGTGCTAGTGTTGTTAGACTTTCTGAAATCATGAAGGCTTAGACGAAGATCTACATAATTTAGCTCCATAATTCTAAATCCATAACAACCACCTCAGACTTAAGCTAAAGTGACTTTGAATCCAACTTGCCTTTGCGTTCAATGTGAAATACTCAACATGTGCATATTAGCTTCCAAAAGCGGAAGTTAGTTGGGATTTTTCAGTGTGCTTATTTGGTATGTCTCTTTAAGATGTCCTAATCTTTCGCTACCAACCAATGGTAGCTCCTTATTCATTAGCGAGGCTCCATGCATAAAGTTTGGCCACGCAAGCTCCGAGTTTTGCTGCTGTTCAGACCCTCAGATTTTACAATAAAATAATTCCGGCCACATTTAAGTGCATTCATCTTCACCTGTTATTTGTTTGCTTACACATTAACTTTTCAGCCCTATCCTACTTCATCGAATATATGTTTTAGCCTTTATGATCACACCCAGGAAAGTTTTATGACACCGTAGTAACAAGCAATGTAATTTTGGAGTATAAATATCATCGCTTCATCATGTCTTCTCCCTCAATACCCTCATCAACAAATCACTCCACCTACATCCTCCACAGTTTACCTCACAATGAGTGTCTTTCAATCACTACGACGCGCCCTTACCATCAAGGGCCCCAAGACTCACGTAGCTGGTATGTCATCGGGTCACGCCCCGGTCCACACCACAAGGCCCTTTCGTCACGTTCCAGTGATACAAAATCCCTACCGCGGCGATCCACAGCTTCGCATGGAGCAAAACGCTCCACATACAGACTGTGATGTCAAGTGCTTGGACTTGGAGGGGGATCTCCTTGTCATACAGAGGAGGCTCAAGGGTCTGGGATACCGCGACAGTGCCGTCCTGAATCAGTTGCAGGCCACGTATGGGGCCTCGAGGGAGATGCGCTGGGCTCTCAAGGTCGTGGAGCGCAAGTTGAACGAGGAAAAGGAACGGAAGAAAGCGGGTATGTTTTCGTCTGCGAATAAAGTGTATTCAGAGGTGCTAACACTACTTACAGAGGATTTGGAGCAAGAGCTCAGTTACTACAGGGGATGGGATAAAAGACGGACGGTCTCGGATTATACAACCTGACGTGCCTGGCCATACCTCTGCAGAATAACAGGCTTGTCAGGGTGCGTATTCAAGTGAGATGGGGACTCAGTTTTGCGAATAATGACTTTTTGGTTGCTTGTAGCGGACATGATTTAGAGAGGGGTTTAAGTTAAATGTGTTGCAGTGATCTAAGTGGCTAGGCCCGTCATAGACTTAAAGTTTATACAATCAAATATGAGGTTGACTGTCGCCTATAAGGTTAAGCTTTAACTTGTGAACAAAGGTGATGAACGAAAACATGATGATTCTGTTTCCTAATATAAGCTTTTACCTAGATGCTTTCACGATGACCAATAAATATTGATGCAAGCCCTGGGGCATTGCAATGGGAAGAGACTTTATACTGTAACAAATGAGATATTCTGTCTTCTTCACACGTGCTAGCAATCTAAAGTCTTACATTACGAGCAGCAACCACCTATGTACTTAAATAATCAAGGTTCTTGGAAAGACAACTCTAAAAGTCATCTCACTGTCGGCTGAACAAGAGCTAGGTCTCTCCTTTTTGTCCGATTTGGGGTATATAAAGGGGCGCTGGCGCCACTTTATAACTGGTCAAGTGACCTATGGTACCCCTATCCAACCGCCTTTCAACCTGCATGGCTCGAGATTCCTTACAGCAGCAAACATAAGATAGAAGTACCAGAACACCATTCGATTATTATCCAAGTTCTATCAGAGTCAAGAAGTCAGTCGCGAGTCACTCCAATTATCTTTCAACATGACGCCGTCGAAGGCAGCGTCACACCCAGAGCTCGTGATGAGACAAAGACAAGAGCTTGCACATAGAGCTTTTCGGGCCCGGTTGATGGAGCGGCACAGACGTAGGCTTGAGGCTTCAAAGTTCTGGATAAAGCTTGAAGGACAACCGGACACCATTGAGGCTGTTGCACAAGCAGTTGGCATTGCATCGCCCAATGGTTGTGCTTTTCCTGCTACCGACTCATCGGGAAATGCGGGCTCTTTTCTGGAAATCAATGCCATCAACAAGACCGCCATCGAAATGTACCTGAGAGAAATACCGAGCCTCGCTAACTTCGTTCCAACATTTATCCCACGCAACCCAGCAAGAAGGAGTCTTTCATCTCATTCACCGCATTCAATATTGGACATCGAATCAACACTCCCTGATCGCCGACTAGCGCACTTGCATGATGAACCACTCCCCGAGCATATCAAGTACCCCATTGGGTATTTCGTTGAAGGAGACCTAGCCGACGTTGCGGTCCTGTTTAGTCTGCTAGGTTGCGAGCCTCAATTGAGACCTGCTGTGGCTGCTGCAAGATTCTTGAGGGGGGGCCAATCATTGGCAATGTCAAATGACCCTAATGGGACAAGGATCTTGTCTGGGAAGGCACTTCTGGTTGAAACAGAGGCACAAGAAGACATGTTACGGGTGTATCAATCGAATCGCTATGAAGTTGTACGATGTCCGATCGACATTGGGGAAGAAGACATGGTAGATGGTTTCGCATTTCGATTCATCGAGTAAATTATAGGCTAGAGAATAAATACAGGGAAATCCCGAATGGGAATTGGAAAGATGGTGTGTAATAAAAAGCCAGTCGTCAAAGTGCAAGCCCTTAGGCCTTAGGCTTGTAGTCCTCGAGGGCATCCCTAGCAAGAGCAAGGTTTTGAATGACTGCCAATCCATACTGCGCAACATCGTTCGTAGAAACCCAAGGTGCTTCCTCTCCAGGAATGAGCCCCTCATGCTCCGGAATCTCGGTTGTAGTGAAAGTGGCGGTGGGTGCCTTGAATCCGTCACTCTCAAAGAACTTGGTCCAAGCGAGATTAGCCATGGTGGTATTGTGCTGTTGGTTAGCAGCATACGCCGTGAGACGCGAGTGACCCTGGTACAAGTTCAATTTTCCGAAATCGACACCATAGCGAGCCTTCTGCTCAGCAGCAGTGGCCTCGAAATAGTAACAGTAATCCAGCCAAGCCTGCTTGAAGCCCTCAGGTAGATCATCGCCGAAGTACAGGATGAGCTCAGAGACTACTTCAGGAAGACCAAAAACGGCATTCAGATGTGATACTTCGACGTGGCCCTTGTTGTCGGGATCGGAGGGAGGCGGACCAAGGGTCCAGTTCTGAAGGTTGTAGAGGCCATTACCAGTGACGAAACCGTTCTTGAGCTTGGCGATGCTCTTGACAGTGCTGGTGAGCTTCGCCCTGGACTCTTCCCATCGAGGACCGCGGCGCTCCCAGTCAATGAGCCATCCGCCAGCGAGCGCACCCCAATCTGTGCCTAAGCTAAAGGCAACGGTCGCATTTGGCGTAGGAACCCAACCATCTTTGCGGACCTTGCGCTGGGGATCCAGAACACCATAGGTCTTGTCGGTGTCAAGAAGCTCCTCGAATAGCTCACCAATGCGCTCATCGCCGCCAGAAAGGTAGTAAAAGTACTTCCTGTACTGAGGCTGTGAGATACGGGCCTGCTTCGCGCTATCGCTGAAATGCTGCACGCCGTGTCGCGTTCCAAGACCCTTCCAGTTACCGAGATGGTAGACATCAACCTCGCCAGTGTGACGGGTGAGAGCCTCCGCAAAGCGGTAGATATCTTCGCGGCCTGTGCGCAAGAAGTACTGCCAGAAGAACAGATCGGGCGACAGCTCAGAGTTATCCCATGCGTAGCCACCAATGTCGTATCTCCACTCATGACGGTCGGGATCATAAGTGTGCATGAAGTCACCATAGTCAAGGAAGCCGTACCAACGGCGGTGCTCAACCTCAGACTGGTAGAACTTGGCGAGGAAGTTGATGTTATCCTCGAGCTTCTTGGACGCGGCGGTTGAAGTGTCGGCGGGAGCCCAGTAGGTACCGATAGCCTTGGTCTGCTGGATGTACTCGCTTTCGGGGACAAGGACGGGAGGGTTGTTGATCTGTGTGACATGTTTCGCCAGTGTTTCTTGCGAAGGAGTCTTGTCAAAGGCAATCAGATACAGCTCGCTAGTTCGCGCGATACCGTAAGGTGTATCGAAGCCAGGTTCCCAGTCCTCGTAGGTGATCTCAAGAGCGTCGAGCTGATCGGTGTAGTTCTTCTGACCGAGACCATCATGGTAAGGACGGAGGTCAAGAGGTTCAGCAGATGGACTGTACAACCAGAGGGTAATGCTTCCAGTGTCAGAAGCGGCGGAAGAAATGTCAAAGCCAGTCGGAAATCGCTTCCAGAAGTCGCGAAGACCAACGGCGAGACCTCCAACAGTAGCACCACCAAGGTATGCAAGGCCCTCGGCGCGAGTGCCACCAGGGATGGAGACCCAGCTTTGACCAGCCTTGGTTCGCTTCTTGAGAGTGAAACCATCAGCTGAAAGTTGGCTCAGGCTGTAGTCGTTCCAGGGAGGAATCCAGTGAAGACGGGTGGAGACACGAACATCCCAAGTCGAGATATCGGGCAGCTCCTTGCCGTCAAACTGATCAGCTCGAACATTGGCACCAGGGTCTCTTCGAAGGCCAGTAATACCCTGAACGGCTTCACTGAGTAGACCGCCCTCAACGCCAGCAATGCGGATGTGGCGGTTATACAGTTCCTCACCCTCAAGAGGAACGTCAAAGCGGATACCAACGGCAGAGATGAAGTCTTTCTCAGCATCTCCATCAAAGACCAAGCTATGAATGATCTTGATCGACTCGGAGCCAGAGTAGAAGTAAAAGCGGAGTACAAAGGGCAGCCAAGATTTGTGGCCAGACTTGTCACTCGCCGAATGCTTTCCTCGGACGGTGACCAGAGTTCGTGCAGAGTTCTGGTCGCTGACAGTGACGTTATCAATGCTGCTCTGGAAGCGCAGCGTCTTGAACGACTTGATCTTGTCCTCACCGGGGTGAGAAACGTCGTTCTGCGACTGAAGAACGAGTCTTCCGTTCTGAGCGATGCGCTTGCCGTTGGTCTCAATCTCCTTGACGATCACAGAGCCCGTTCTAGGGAAGACAGCTGTGACTTTGCCGGTATCGACCTTGATCTTGCTGGAGCTCTTGGTAACAGTGATACCAGCAGAAGTTGTGGAGTTGATGCCCTCTGATGAAGGAACAGCCTTGACGACATATTCGTCAAGAACTTCCTGCAAAGCTCCAATGGCGTGGCCGGTCCACTTCACTGAGCCATCAGCCCAGTATCCAGTAACCCACGATTGAAGGTCAACATCTTGACCAGAAGCACCAGAAGCAGTGAACTTGGTGTCCTTTGGGAAATACTTCGATTGAGGCCAGGGAAGACCGAAAGTAGTTCCTGAAGTAAAGCCTGGCTTTTCACCTAGCCAGTGGACTTTGGCTGAGGAAGAAGAGTTGCTAGGAGCAGCCATAGCTTGGCCTGTAAAGGCAACAAGTAAAAATGAGTGGACGGCTTGTCGCAACATGATGGAGCGACTACCAAATAACAATTATAAAAGAAGTAGTTACTTTTGAGAAAGTTGCGTGATTGAGACAGAAATCGCATCTGTTCTTATGTACAATGTCCCTCTTGTCTTGACGCCATAGAGAACCACAATGAGAATATGCATGTAATTTCGGGAGATATACCCTGTTCAGCGGCAGCAGCCATATCACGGCTTTGCTCCGCTGCATCTCGGCGCTCGGTGGAGATGCACCCGAGAGGGCTCATGACTTCGGATGATCGCGAATGACCTGAACATTGCTGGGCATTGCGCGAACGGTAGGCTAGAGTCGCAGATCGCAGCCGAAATGAGGTTTAGCGAGTCCTGTAATTTCCTAACGGTCCGCGAGACAAGGTTCCCCGCGTCGATTGGCTTCACATTTGTCAGTGAACGGACGGAATAATAATTGACAAGCGCGCGAGGGTTGCGTGATGCAACCTATAATGAGAATATGGTTAGATGGGCCTTTAGATACCAGAACGCTCGGGCTTGCATGGGCGGCCTAAATAATCTTGTAAGTAGCCTGCCAAGATAACCTAAGTTCAACTGATCTAAGGCCCTGGTTTTCTGTCAACCCTTCAAGTGGTTAGAGGGGTTAGAGGGGTTTGCTGGGTCTTTCTGGTGTTGGGGGTTCTGGATTGGGGGATCAGCAAAACCACGCCGAATCGCGGAGCAATTCACGCGGAGCATTCAACTCGGAACCGGAGTTTGGCGTCAGCCCGTGATCATATTCAACGCGATACCACGTGAGCTTCCTCCCTTGTTGTCATGGAAGCTCGGAGATAAAGCTTATCATAGTATTTCCAGAAGAGATCGGTTATCTCGATAAGCGTAAAAACTTCGGGCGCGTTCACCCCTTACTTGCGCCAAAATCCATCTGCCAGGTTACAGAAGACCACGTTACCATTGGCAAGCGTCCATCAAATTTTTACTCATTCCATTCCATTAACATCAAAATTTCCAGCTCTACCAAGTAACTAGACTGTCATTATAAAACCTTTGATGATCTGATCCATGAAACCGGATCTATCCGAGGTTAGTTTCTGTCTCGACGCGTTGTCAATGTGAGGTGCGGCAAGGGCTTACCCTGCACCCTGGCTACCAAAGAGTCTTGCAGCTTCCCAATTCATCGATTGCTGCAACGCAAGTTTCCTATTCAAGTCAAACACAGACAGTAATACAACATAAAATATCAGTATGATCATGCCGTTATCATCCTCCATGACGATGTCTCGCTGCGCAGATTACGCGGCTACAAATACACAGCCTCATCCTGCACGTACGGAGTTCCGTGTCTCACGTGACCTTTCATTCTTCATCCTCAATCTTTGTTGAAGAATGCTATCATCATATTCGCAAAAGCAACGTGAAACGATAATGAGTTCGTCAAACAACCGAGACTCGCCACTACCTTTATTGAAGACGTGCCAGACATGTTTTTCATTGAAGATTCGATGTTCGAAAACTCAGGACTCCGACTCTTGCGATCGATGCTTGAGGCTCGGCAAGACGTGTATCTTCAACCAAGCTAGGCGTCGCCAGAATGTAAATCGCCAAAGGTAAGACCTATAACTTCATAGTGAGAAGAATAGGACTTATGATTGGTATTTATAGAGAAAGATTGGATGTCAGATCCAAGTCCGAGCAATCATCCAAGTCGCCAACAAGTCCTTATGAAAAAGCATCTTCGAGCAGCAAAGTGCAGGATATCTTCAATCAGAATGCATCATTTGACCCATTTGAACGAGGAATCATAACCTTCGAAGCTGCTAGAGACTTGCTCGACTGCTACAGGACCCGAATGATCCCATACTTTCCTTTTGTCCTCTTTCGAAATGACGTATCTGTTGAGGAGTTGAACGCAGAACGCCCTTTTGCTTGTCTGGCTGCCCTAGCCGCAGCTTCACATGCCGATGTCCCCGCCCAAAAAGCACTTGGTTACTTATTCAAGCAGATCGTTGCCGCAAAGATGGTGGAAGGCGATTTCTGTCAACTGGATCTACTGCAGGGACTCCTGATTAATCTTGCATGGTAAGTCTTTGCACCTGTGATAAGTCTGTCAGCTAAAGATTGCAGGGCACACTATCAAGCCAAGCCAAAGAGATATATACAGCATCTCCATCTTGCTACTAGTATAATCAGTGATCTGAGACTTGATAAACCTCGAAGACCAAAGTTATGGAGTGCCGAGGGCGGGAAAGATAAGAACAAGCCAGACTGGGGACCCGATGAGATGAGAGCTCTCGCAGGGACTTATTACTTATCTTCAAGGTGAGTCAGCTAGTGATATTAGTGAGACTTGGGCTAAAAAGCAAAGTTCGTCTATTATTCTCCAGAAAACACGCCAATTCTTCTATACGCCATACATAACTGCTTGTTGCGAGCATCTTGCATCTTGGAACGAATACCCGATGGATAAATATCTTCCGTACATGATTACAGTGCAAACGCTCATCGAAGGAGTTGAAGATCTTGTCAACAACACATTGTCTACTAACAACGGTCTGCATTTCTTTTCTGGGTGTCAGGAAATCTCACAGAAGTGTACCGAAATCAAGGAAACGCTTCCTTTCCCTTTGAGCGAAAGCCGTAAGCCAATCCTACATCATACAAAGTCTCTTACTGACGGTTTACAGCACCTCTACTTCTCCAGATACATATTCTAGAGCTTTTACTCAGCCAATCATCGCCGAGAGGAACATCCTTCGGTCTAGACAAGTTCAACAATCAATTTGAACACGAAAGCTCGCTCATAGACTGGCTGTCGGCAAGCATGTCAGCCGCTCGCTCTCTCATCAGTGTGATTCTCGTCATGCCGCAAGGTGAAGAGATGTACATGTCGAACATGGGCTGGATCATGATGAACTGCGGCCTAAACCTTGCTGTTCGCCTTGATCTCGTCGCTGCTAGAGGCAGCATATCTGGATCTATGCAACACCTTCGTCGGTTCTTAGATATGAGGCATACCCTTCGCCAACTAGTCCTGCGGTTCGAGGCCACGCCAGGTCAAGATGCGCCAGCAGACCATCCGTTCAATGCTCTTGCAAAGCGAATACGTCGGCTTGAGAATTGGTACCTGTCGCAGGCGGAGCACCAGACACCAGATTCATCAGTCTCTATAAGTCCATCTGTCAATGACCAGTCCTTACTTGGCGTCGGTACTGATGCCAGTGGCATGTCAGTTGGGTCAATGCCGTTCATAGCGAGTCCATGGCCAATGAGCTCAGATTGGTATCAAAACCCTGACCTCGACATTGGAACTTTTCTCTTCGCAGATCCTGTCGAGTTTCCTATCAACCTGGGTTATGGGACTTAGGTCTTTCTTTTTTAATAGAAATTTTTGTGTTACGCGGCAGTGCTGGATCCTGTTCATTGATGTGCCGTACGGAGTAAGGCACGGACTAACGGTTGTAGGAAGCTGGCGGCATACGGAGTAAGTCGGACTAAGGGACTAAGTGGAGCCTCTGGAGGTGAACATCCCCTGCTAAACACCACAAGACAAGTAAAATGAGAAAGAATATTGCCAAAGGATCCATCTTCATTCGGCATCTCATCTAAGCCTCGGTGAGTATGTAATAAGGTAGATTTTCGTCGGCTACAGGCTGCCTCGGGTTCAAATATAAGAAGGGTCTCTCAGCGCATTCTATTCTACCCGTTCATCAGCGCCTTTCTGGTTCATCGCCTCTCATAACATCTCACCAAACACTTGTAATAAAGTAACAATGCGAGCTTCTACCATAAGCTTTCTTTTGAGCGCCCTCAGTCGTGGCACTTTCGCCAAAGATGACTGCATCAATAACGACATTCCTTTCCAGGCATGCGCTCCCATCGGTGCATACTATCCACCACCGACTATCGACAAATCCTCTGAGTCTTTTAGGAAGCTTACCTCCCAGTTCACCAAAACATTTGACGGCCTCATCAAGAACGGCGGTAGTGATAAATACGGGCCAATCACACCCAACACTACATCGTTCTCCGTGGTCATCTTCGGTGGTGCTGAGTCGCTTCGAGATGATCCCGTTTTCTTCGAGTATCACTACACGTCCCCTGAAGATCAAGTCTCGAACGCAAACCTCACTTCGGACACCAAATTTCCAGTTGGTGATGTGAGCATGGTATTCACTGTTTATGCTTGGCTTGTCAAGATGGGCGAACAGTGGGAGACGCCTATCACTAACTATCTGCCTGAACTGGCTAAAGTCAAAGATTCGCTTACGGTGAAATGGGGAGACATTACTATTGGTGCCTTAGCAGGCCAAATGTCAGGCCTCAGTCACGAGTGTATGTTATCATCCGGAGCCATGGAGGACTTGGACTTACAAGTGATATAGCCAGAGCATGTGTTATTGGCAAGGCTTGCGACTACAAGGGTAAGTGAAATCCTACATATACCATTTGAGCCCCCTAGATTGATTTGAATTACAGCCTTCCAAAAGGCTTTTGCGAAGAAGTCGCCATACTTCCTCCCGGATACAAGTCCAGTTGTCTCCTACGCCGCTTTCCAGCTGTTAGTCTTTGCCATGCAACGAAGTGATGGAGATTGGCCCTCGATTCTCGACAAGACCATTCTGCAGCCTCTTAGCATGAGCGACAGTGGAGTTCTGAGCCATGGTGTCGAAGATATCTTTGCCATGAAGAGTCTTAACACTTCAGAAATTGGTGAACCAGGGTATTTTTATCATCCAAACAAGATGAATCTGTGGCTAACAACCGTTGCAGCGCCTTATCATTCGTTAGCTCCGCCAAAGATCTCGCACGCGCTGGACACTCTATCCTCGCCTCAGACCTCCTCTCGCCTGCTGTTACCCGTCGCTGGCTTCATACTAATGTCGATACTTCCAATCTTCGCAACGGTGTAGGTCGACCTTGGGAAGTTTACCGTGCCGGAAACGCTATCTCGCCCATCCTGGATGCCTTGACGAAGAGCGGAACTATTGGCAAATATGCGAGCTACTTTGGACTCACCACGGACTTCAATGCCGGCTTCGCCATTCTGGCTCACGATAGCAGTGTTGAGGACAGAAAGCTGGACCTCAATGTGTACGCCGACATCGTTAGCGAAGTTCTCGGATACCTGCAAGTCATTTCTGCCAAAGAACTAGAAGCGCGCTATGCTGGATCATATAAAGGCAAGGCTACTGAGGCTGCTCTTAACACCACTGACAATGGCCGGGGTCTTGAGGTTCAGAAGCTTGTGATCGGCGGGGTGAACATCAAGAATCAGACCGCCCAGAAGCTCGGCGTTAAGGCTGATGACCTCGACTTCCGAATCTACCCAACGAACGTTCAAGATGAAAGCCGACACCAGTTCATTGCCGTATTCCAGGACAAGAGTGCTCCAATTGACATGGGCACTCCGACATGTATTACTTGGCAGGAAATTGGTGCTGACGCCGAGATCAGCTTTGTTTTCACGATTGGGCGGCAGGGCGAGGTCGTTGGCGTAGAGGTTCCCCAGCTTCGCGCGAAAATGAAGAGAGCCACATGAATTGAGTGGTTTGTGACTGGCTCTCCATTGGGAAGCGATAGGGTTACCATTGGATTACCATTGGGTTACATAGAAACTATTGATTGCTGAAACATTCAGGGACTCACCATTCTGATAGTGGGGCTGCTGCCTAGCGTGAACACCGTGAATGTCAGCAAATACGTCTAACATCAGGCTAAATAAATAGGTAAGCACTACATTCTCTGACCGATATTTGACTGCCATCGTGAAGATCAATTCGAGTTTGCGAAAATGGCTTCTTCGGCGCCGAAAGTTGCGCCACCTGAGCGCCGCGATCCTCTAGACGTTATTGACAAGCAGGCAGATGAGATCGTGGCACTTGTCAAGAAGAGCAAGCACTTCATTGTTTTCACAGGCGCAGGCGTCTCGACTTCAGCAGGTAAGTCGATCGATCGGTCTTTTCTGTGCATTCCACCCGCTGATTCGTATAGGCATTCCCGACTTTCGTGGACCAGAAGGTGCTTGGACGCTGAGAGCTCAAGGGCGAGCTCGTACTGGAAAGGCCACGAGCACGCTTCAAGCCATCCCGACACCGACCCATATGACCCTGGTGGAACTACAGAATCAAGGAGTTCTGAAGTATCTCGTCAGTCAGAATTGCGACGGCTTGCATCGAAGGAGTGGCATCCTACGTGTAAGGACTTGCCTATAGACTGTTGGCCGCTATGACTGATCATCGTAGGATCGCATTTCGGAACTTCACGGCAACAGCAACCGGGAATGCTGCAAAGACTGTGGTAAGGAGTACATAAGAGGTAAGTGAATAAGCCACAAGAATGTTCCTTATGCTTAGTCGTCAAAGACTTCCGTGCTGTCGCCAGCTATGAAAAGTCAGTGCACGACCATCGAACAGGCCGCAAGTGCACTGCATGTGGAGGGAACCTTCTTGATACCATCATAAACTTTGGAGAATTCTTACCAGAGGAACCTCTGAAACTTGCTCGAAGTCATGCCAAGAAGGCTGATCTTTGCATCGCGCTTGGATCATCCCTCAGTGTTCCTCCAGCGAGTGGCATTCCTGAGACATGCGGAAAGAGTAAAAAAAGCAAGCTTATCATCTGCAACCTACAAGAGACCTTCATGGAAGGCATAGCAGATATGCATGTTTGGGCTGAGTCGGATGTCCTCATGATGAGAGTGATGGATAGGCTCGGATACACCATTCCAAATTTTATCTTGAAGCGCAGGCTTGTTATCAAGGTTGAGCGCGATGTGCACAATCGTCAGGTTATTGTATTGACTGGCGTCGACGATGATGGTACGCCAGTTACATACCTTCAGTCTGTCAAGCTCGAGGATAGCAGACGTATAGTCAGGTCTGAGCCATTTTCATTTGTTTTCCGAGAAGGTCTTAATGCTGGAGCCCAGGTCAAGTTCGCACTTGAGTTCATGGGACATTACAACGAACCTAACGTCGTTATTGATTACAGTGTACCTGAGGAAGAGGGCGCAGAGACGGTCTACGATCTTTCATATGATCCGAGTACGGGAGAATGGGTGATCATGCGATGACAAGAGACTTCTACACTTTACGAGCTTATTGGCGCTACACCTAAGCATAATTTAGACCGCAATCAAACTTTACGTGGTTTTTGCAACCAACAACTAACAACCAACAGCATGTTACATGAATTTGGTCGCTAGGCTAGGATGTAGCCCCTGCATTTTGCCTGCAACCGACTTGGCGTATCCACAATGCATACAAAGGGCCTCGGGCCATTGATTCACGATTTTCGTTTAAGGGATAGCTATCCACCGCTCAGACACTCGATTCTGTGCTGGAAAATCACGGATTCTCCTCCTTCTTTCTTTCACTTAACCACGTCATTCTTTTTCTCACAAGTTCTATTTCCCGTTGATTACCTAGGCAACATTCACCATGATTGCCTCTAAACTCTTCATCACTCTGGGAGTCTCCCTGTCCGTCAATGCTTTCAGTCTCTATGAGTCTGGGACTGACAAGGATGTGACAAAAGCCTGCGAGAAGGCCATGTCAGCAGATATCGATTGCGACAGGGAGGTAATCAGCTTTCTCAACGGAGGCTGGTACGGCTCTCTTGACAGTGAAGCCTTAACCGATGCAGTCTGCACCAAAACCTGCTCTCAGTCACTCCAGGACTGGATCGCCGATGTTTCCGAGGACTGCGAGGATGAAGACAAAGCACGAGGCGGCCTTCGTATCTGGACAGGTTGGAATGCGACTTGTCTGAAAGATACCAAGACAGGACGATACTGCAACGGTTAGTAGCTGATAGACTTGAGAATAGGAGAATACTGACTGTATCCAAGACATCATTGCAGATTTCACTGATGTTGGAGAGGGTGAAGAGCTGCCGCACGATGAGCTTTGCCATCCTTGCTATGTGCAGCGTCTCGAGATGTATAAACCCTCACCGTACGCCCTCAACATCAAATGGCACGAAGAGCAACTTGAGCTCGTGCACAAGAAATGCGATAGTTCAACCTCCACTGAGACTGCGGCGCCCACCTCAAGTAAGAGTGAACCATCCGAGGCGGCGACTGCGGCAGAAGACTCGAAAGCTTCTCAGACGGCCAGCAGCGAGGAAGGGTCTGTATCGTCCACTGGGACGCCAGCACAGACCATATCGTCTGAGCCTACTGTGCCACCTACGCCTAATGCAGCTGCGGAGTCTCTACAGGGAGAGATGTTCGGATCTCGGGCTCTGATGTTCTTTTTGTCGTTAAACCTCTTTCTTATGTAGGGGGATTGTTCACGTCTATCAGAGCCATTGGAACTATGTTGTCGGATATATCCATAGCTGTATTCTCACAACCTAAAGTGTATCAAACCAGGGCATACGTCTGAGCATTTACCAGTAGATTATTGGAGGCCTAAACCACTCGGGCTTAGAATTAGAGTATTTACGTACAAACAATCCTCGAGAGACTCGCTTCTTGCTCCACCTGAGATTCATTGTCCGGCAAGCATGCGAGGTTGACTGCACTCTGGGTGTTTCTCCACTATTGTCCATAACGTTGACACGGCAAGCTCTATTCCCCAAGCATATCGTAAATACAGTGACAAACTAAATGTCAAGCTGGATGCAGGCAAGAAAGGAGAGAAATGGATTTTCATGTCAGGAGACTTCTGTCCGTAGCCCATGTAACGCTGCGTTGGTTGATGGTGATGTTGGTTGTTGGTTTGTATTAAGCGTGATTTTCGAGTCCCACAACTCCACAGGCTAGTCAGGTTCTGTTGACTCACTTGCCGTATTAATGGGCCCAATTGCCTCGGTTCTTTAATGGAAGATTTTCCTGTGCCTGTCGGCATTATGATGGATGTTGCTGCATATATCGGGTTTATGGTCTGGTCTTGGTTACTATCGGACATAGAACAAAACTACATCTGAGATGCTTCACGGTACCTGCTATGACTAAAAGGCTATGAGAGATTCTGGACAGGGACAGGGGTTGCCAATCAATGACATTTGGGCCCTTGCAGCACGTGCAGGGCCGTCTTGGCGATATGTACACATGAAAAAGGCCCGTTTGGTTACATCATTACGGAGTACGAAGAATTTATCTGACAATTTCAGAACCCTGCTGGCCACAACTATTTAGGCCTATGCTTGGGGCTTGCATTTATAAATTATCATTAAGAGCCCATCACTTTCGCTGCTGACAGTGTATCACTCGCATCTCGATATCTGCGTCACCAATATTCATGATGGTCATGTCCAAATTGGTTGTCGCGCTTGGGCTCTTCATGAGTGCCAGTGCACTACAGATGATGAAACCAAAGGACTTGGATAGTCTAGAAACTCTGATCAGCAAAGCATGTGAGAGGGTATTGACAGCCGAAGTCGAATGCGACGAGTACATTAGGGAATTAACCGACCCAAATTCATTTCATGGCGAAACAGACGAAGATATGGAGATGGCCCCAACGATCTGCAACAAAAAATGCTCCGACTCGTTCCAATCGTGGTATCAAAAGCTCAAAAAGGAGTGTGCCGAGGAGGATTTCCTGTCCGAACTCTACCCACCCAACTATTTCCTATTCGGCGGAAATGTCACTTCGAGTGGCTGGAACCAGACATGTGCCAAGGATCCGAAAACGGGTCGATACTGTGGCGGTTTGTGGTCTTCTTCTCATAGACGACTGTTTAACTGACGTTCTCTAGAAATCTTGGACGAATTCCCCGACATCGGGGATGATGAGGAAATGCCCCTCGAAGAGCTTTGCCATCCCTGTTACGTGAAGCTAATTGACATGAGGTCAAATTCCTGGGCGTGGCCAACGCCGACTGATCCAGCAGGTGACTATTGGAACAAGCAGCTCAAGCTTGTTAAAGAGAAGTGCAACGCCTCGGGAGGGTTGAAGGAAGAATCATCGTCTAAGGAGCAAACGACCTCGGTCACTCCTCACAAGACGGTCAGCGCGGATGGGTCAGGTGTGAGCACTATGCCGACAGCAAGTACGTCTTCCACAGAGACTGTGGTGCCAGGAAGTGCCGCTCATGAGAGTAGCACAGGGGATGCTAGGGCAAGCAAGCAAATTTGCAGTTACTGGTACACACTGCTTATGCTGGGCATGGGTGTGATTATGTTTTAGGCTTCAGTGAATCGTTTTGGGTTATTGCTGTTCACTTAGAGACAGACCTAGGGCTACAAGTAGACTATTAAGGCTCTCTTTATTCGTTCTGAGTATATATTCAATTCTTCAGTCCAACTTATTGTATAATGGAGCGTCATGCACGTCTTGCACGTTTTTCGTTCACGGATCCCCAGCCTCAAATTTCTTTTCCTGGCCGTGTCTGGTCAATTATCCGGCCTGAGAAGTCAGTTGTCCTTCGCATCGGTGCACTTGCACGACATGGTTGTATTTTGCGGCACACACAGTTTCAAAAAAGATGTAACTCGGCCTTTTAACTCAATTCTTCCCAAATCTCTCATAGTTGTCTCGTACTGCTCTAAGCAGATGTGTCTGAGACCTATAACGAAATGGATACGTTTCGTGTGGATCAGGGCCTTGGCTGACAACATCCAAACCAACAGTTCATCTTCTACCAAATACACTGTTCAGCACCCATCACGTCCCAAATTCCTCGCCACTATTCGTCTTCTTCATTCCCTCAGGTTCCCTGAACACTCTCAAGTTGGAACTTGTAACCTGGAATGCCCACCAAAACTGCAATAACAGATCTGCACCTACACGAAATATATATTTTCGGTCCTTCCACTCCATCTTTGTCTTGATGGCTTCGATCTTTTGGGACCCAGCAGATGTGTTGCAGATTTCCGATCATCGCAGATGCATAGGCACTACCACAAGGGAGACCCGGTGTACGCTTTCTATAAAGGAACCACGACTTTCGGCAATTGGTGGATTGCTCAAACGGATGTCGCAAAGATCTCCTGAATTCACCACGAGACAAACTCTTCATCAACTCGCAGATCTATGCCTCTGTCGCACATATCATTCAGAGCAAGTGCAAGAATTTGTTAGTCTATGGACAACCGTGATAGAGGAGGCAGTATCCGTAAAGCGTGAAAAGAAGGCGAGGGGAATGGACGAGTTTCAGCGGTTCGAACAGTTATTCGACTTGAAGTCGAGTATTTCCGAGTTGCAGGACAGTCTTGATGCCGCAAGGCAAGACAATGACCAACTACAGAAGCAGCACCAACGAGACGTCAAAAGGTTACGAGGCAAGATCAAGCATCTGGAACAACAACTTCAAGAAAGCAAAGATCATAACAATGTGGCCGAGCAGAAGTCTCTGGACTTGGAATTCAACATTGAGCATATCTTCAGACCCAAAATCATTCATCTAGAGCAAAAGCTCAAAGAAAGCCAAGATCGAAACAACATTACGCAAGGAAGATTATCAGCCACAAGAACAAAGTTTGAAGAGCTTCAGACCCAGACAACTAGCGATTGGATCGCTCGAAACAGACTCGAAATAGAGAACAAATCTCTGAAAACTCAATTGACCAAAGCGCAAAAGAAACTAGATGAGCATACATTCATTAAGGACAAGAACCAGGACTTTCATGATCAGATCAAAAGCTTTGAAATCAAAGTTAAGCAATACAAAGTCATGTTAGAGGATTCAACAAGGAAAGCTAGTGAGAATGAAGAAAAAGCCGCGGCTGAACGTGATGCGAAAGAGGCAATGGAGAGTCGCCTCAAGGCTCAGCTTACTGAACGAGAGGATGAGATTGTAAGGTTCAAGAATCATCAGGAGGAGTTGGAACAAACTATTGCTGAGACACAAGCTAGTATCGACACTTGTTGGTGGCATAGACTTTGGACTTGGAAGGAACGCTTTTGGAAGAGGAGTAAATCAGGATCTTGGATAAGAATCGGCGATGGAACAAATGAACATATTGGTCTTCAGACATATGCTTAGGGACGTATAATAGAGAAGTGTTTGACACTCATCTCTGATGACCTCTGGCCTTTGACTGGTCTAGAAAAATGGCCTTGCATAGTGGTGCGACTGAATATTCCCAAGCTGGCATATTGACATAGCCATAGATGAGGAACATATTTACCGCCAATGACAGGAAGCACAAACCTCTTGCATCCCCTCCGCATCATGATCCGGGGAACCCGCGACTATAAAATAGACTTAAATGACATCCTCACTTCTATTGGGGCGCCTTGCAACATCTCCACCCCCAATTCGAAAACGGACCTTGAACTCCCGAGGTTTTGCTGGAGAATAAGCATTGCGGGACGGGCCTCCAGTGACACGATTGGACCGCATCGACATCCCGGTCATCGATCGGCAACCCCAGATCCCAGTTCCCGGTCATGCTCGGCGAGCCATCCGGAATGAGAAGTCAGCTGTTCTTGAAATCAATGCACCTGGACGATATGGGAAGGTTCCCCAGGATTTTACGAGCGTCCGATGGTATACGCGGATAGCTGGTGGTATGCAACGAGATCTTTATAAGCGACGCTTGTATAAAGGTTCCGTCGAAGTCCATTGACCTTAGAAAACCAGCTCGGCCAGTTCATTCAGTCGCAATCATGGTTTCTTGGAATAACATCTTCACCTTGGCCCTTGGGCTCATTGGCTCAGCTCGTGCCTATACCAACCCCATCAGAAACCCAGGTGGTGGTGATCCCCAGATTACCTACACGGGAGGATACTACTACCTAATCTCGACAGAGTGGACAAACCTTCAGCTCTCCCGAGCTACCACTATCGAGGGTCTCAAGACTGCTACTCCCAAGGTCATCTACACAGACTCTGACCCTTCGCGCTCATCCAATGTCTGGGCTCCTGAGCTTCACTATCTCGGCGGAAAGTGGTACATCTACTATACTGCTGGAAAGTCCGAAGATCTCACTGGCCAGCGGTCACACGTTATCAAGGGTAGGAATTTCAGTTCCTTCGAATGACAAAGCTAACAGAACTAGGTGGTGCTACTCCCTGGGATAGTTGGTCCTATGGAGCCAAGCTCTCTGATGACTGGGGTATTGACGGCACCATCCTTCGCACCAACCAGTTCGGCAACTACTTTGTCTACTCTTGTATGACTGGTGTGCAGTACCAATCAACATGCATCCGTAAACTGGGCTCCGACTTCCTGTCCGTCGGTGCTCTAAGCATCATCTCACAACCCGATCAAAGCTGGGAAAAGAGCGGAACTCCCGTGCAAGAGGGACCCAACGCCTTATACTTCGGCGGAAAGACCTATATTTCCTACTCAGCCAACTACTGCTGGACTCCAGACTATTGCGTCGCTCTGCTCGAGTGGGACGGAAAGACTGATCCTGCCAAGGCCTCAGCGTGGAAGAAGTCCAACGGCTGTGTTCTCAAGAGCGCGAATGGAAGTTATGGAACTGGACATAACAGTTTCTTCCAGAGCCCTGATGGAAAGCAGACTTTCATCACCTTCCATGCTACTTCTAACAAGAATGGTGCATGCGACGACACGAGATATGCTATGACGCAGCCGTTGACTGCTAATGCGGATGGCACACCGAACTTTGGGTCTGTTCAGCCTTTCTCCCACCAATTTGCTGAACCTTCTAGATAAGTATCTTGTTGGTGATAGCACTGTCTCCATCGATTTTTAATGGCCAGGGCCGCGACAACTATGGAACAGAAATTGAAGTCCTAGTTAGGCAACCCCAAATACATGAATCCAAGAAATACTATTTTTGTTCGATATGCGTTCCATAGCCTTGAAGATCCTCACCGGGGTTCATGACATAGGTGTTGAGGATACCTGTGAGCTTGATATCAGGCTGGATTGTTCCGTCCTGGTGAAACACCCACTATGTTCTGTCAGTAGTCTCTTCTTTATACTTGGTAGATGTAACACACTTGAATGGCATACTCATAGTTGGCAGCAGTAAAGACATGCTGAACGATAAGCTTTCGAGCACGCGTGACAATGGTCGAGTTGTCTCGGAAGTCGGTGTGCTTAAACAGAATGCCATCGTCTTCCTCATGGATGCATATGGCATTCTCAATCTTGCGGATCTGACCGGTCTGAGTTGGCAGCTCTGCATCGAGATAATGAATGGCACCTTTAGAGTTAGCTTGGTCAAATGGCTGGAGATTGAGAAGCAACATACCCTTGCAGTCACAGCCAAGTGAGAGACTGTTTGTCAGATATCCGGCACCATACTCGCCCAGATCGAAGGCATGTTTGCGGTGATGAGGAGGCTCGGGGTGACCACTGAGTATTGGTGTTAGTGTGAGACTTGTTAAGGAGGGTGGCCAACGGCGTACTAGGGAACGACCATCTCGGAAAGAGACATGCGATAGAAGATTGGCCTGACGTTTCCCTTATCGTTGAAGGTAATGTTGTTGAAGACAATACCCTCACGATAATTGAAGCCAATATGAAACTTCCAATTCTGCCACTCGAGTTCCCTCCCGTTGATATTGAACGAAACGCCTTCTGGCTGGGAGATGTAAATCGGCTTCAAGTCCTTTCTATAGCCGCCCTCTTTCTGGATATACAGATGATGATAATCCACCGCCTTGTTTCTTTGGAGAGGTCGTCGAACGCGAGGAATATCGATAGCGATGACCTCTTTCTTCCTGGGATCATAGATCGGATGGAAGTCAAGAGGATATTGGTATTGGCAGTTATCGACATCTGGACGGAAGTACATCAAGCCTTGGAAAAGGCGTGTGCTGCTACCATATCGAGTGTCGTGACTGATGGTCCATGGGTCGGCGAAGACTTTGTGCATCTCGTCTGCGGCGATTCCGCTAATTCGGCATTGCTCAATGACTTGGGGGTCTTTGCGACACGCTTGTTCGACTTCGAGCATTTCTTCGACGATGAGCTGTAAGGAAATCATTAGTTAGCTAACTTTCCAATATGAGTCCTGGGGGCGGTCTCACGATGGGCTGCTGTCCTTCAGCGCGCTCCCACTTTGTGATCCTTTGACTCTTCAAGTCGACGAGACCATCGTAGACATGGCCTTTGCCATCTCTGGGATCAATAATAACAACTTCTGCAACACGTCGAGGCCTGGCGCCGCTGGATGGATTGGCAAGCCAGGCGACCATCTCAGCCTTGCGCGGCTCCTGGAGCGTTATGACGTGGAAGTGGACTGCATCACCATGCTCTTTGCGCACAATAGAGGTAGCGAGGCGAATTTCCTCTCCGCTGAGAGGATCGAAGGGATGGGGGACTGAACCTGACATTGTGAGGTGTATTGATTCAAGATATTATGCTCAAAGCTGATGCGAGATGTTTCAATTGAGGGCCTTTGGTTGCATCAAATACTTATTCAACAAACAGTATGAATGCAACAGACAAACGTAATCGCAACTTGAGAAGCTCCAATCTTTACCTATAATCAGTATGGGCTGATATTTCGGATCTGCAGACCCCGAGCCAGGACTTCTTTTGGTGAATTATTGTACGGAATTGGGTGCTCGACACGTTCTACCGCGATGGGCAAGCCGTCACCAAGTCAAGCTCCCCTCAGAACTCTCCACCTCGGTCTCATGCCGTTCAGTATCAGGTGGGGAGCTTCCCCGAAAGATGGCTTGATCTTGCCAACTATCGGCCCCGCATACCCTTTGAAACTTGAAGATAGGCCTACTCAAGCTGTTCATCTCGTATGAAGCTCACTCAGCTGCTCGCTTCCTTACACTTGCCAAACTCGGTAAGTGCTGCCTCGGCAGATAGGAAGGGTCAATTGGTTGTAGTACCAAATCTTAGCGCAAAACCTAGGCTAGAGTTGCCAATCACGGTTAGTAGGTGACCAGGATTCAACGACAAACGAGAGGGATGCTGGCAGACTGAAGCGACTCACTGTAAGTCAAATCGACACTATCATTGTCTTATCATATGTACGAGCAGGCCATGATGCGATGAAAGTAGACTTCACAGCACAGTTCTTTAGGGTATGTCAAAGAAATGAACGATCTGATGTAGAGGCTGGCTATAGAAACTTGTATCCCTAGTCTAGAAATTTGCTTTGCCAGTAAAGCCTTCGTTCTGCACCAATTCTATCCAATAACTATCAGGGTCAAGAAGAAATGCGACGTTCTTCATCTTTCCATCTGTGAGCCTCTTCTTCCACGCAACGTTCAATCTTTCCAACCGTGCACACGCTGCATCAATATTATCGACAATAATACCTTTGGCAGGTCAGCTATTTCGACCATAGAAATAATACGAATCAACTTACAAATATGACCAAATCCTTGAGGTTGATCATTTCCATTGTGTACTTGTGGTAACTCATTCTCTCCACCTTGCCAGATGAGAGCGAGTAAGCCTTCACGGCGTGACAAGTTTTCTGTTCCGGTGAAGGGACCGGTTGAAGGATAGCCTAAAAGAAATGTTTTTGAGTTTCGGTTCGCGTTTTCGAGAGTCTTGATCAACTTCATTCCGAGATTCTCTGTGTAGTAGCGAACAGATCGAGAAGCGTCTGTGACTCGAAGGGCGTACTGATTCTGCATCAGTGTCAGTTCACAATGACGCACGCTGTGAGAGGCAGGTGCCGACGTACAACACTGGACAGACGAGTATCAGAAGGAACATTCTTATTCGACGAATTCTGCTCGCCGATATGGATCCAGTAGCCGTTTGGATCCAGAGCAATCACCGGCTCGTTCCTGGAGGAGAGGGTCTGATGAAACTTGTAACCAGCTTTGGCCAGCGTCTGGTAGGTAGACTGCACATTCGCCACTGAGATTGAGATGTGGGAGAAGCCGAGGTAAGGGTTCTCATTTCCACTGCTCACTCGATAGTTGTCATCACCTTCAGTGCCGTAGTTGTGAGTGAGCTCGATCAAACCTTGACGATCGAAGGTGAACTTCCCATGGGACGGGGAACCTGGGCTGTCAATGCCAAGAAAGTAAAGATCGAACTTATTCTCAGGAAATGAAAGCTTTTGGATGACGCTAAGTCCAAGAAGCTTGTAAAACTGGACTGTAAGAGGGCTAGTAAGTAAACCCCTAAGAATTGATGAAAGGTGTTTTTACTTACTCGTAACTTTGGGATCCTTCACACGAATCCTATCATTTTCGGAATGAGTATTCGTCGGTTGAGTTAGCGGCCGCAGGATGAACTCACATCGCATGATTCAGCTTGTAAGCCTTGATATCTGTTTTCCTTTCCATGATGTAGGCTCGAACGGTAGTTAGCGTGGCAAGGCTTACAACCTGATCTGAGCCTCCTATCCAGGTCTTTAATACTAGAGGCACATAATTGCGTGCTCGTAGAGGGAATGAATAGAGGTTTTCAGGCAACACATACCATTTTGGGTATGGTGAGTCTGGAACACCATGGGACCAGCATGAGGGCCCCCTTTCCTAGTCAAGCATCCAGCTTATCGGTCGGGCCCATAGAACGCATTCGAACAAGTCTAGTCCAGATAGTGAGCGTCGCGAGCAACACAAATCTGTCCCCGCATGGACTGGATGCTATCACCCCGCAAAGATCTCCAATATGCCATGCCTTGTCAGGGATTCTTGACGTATACACGAGGATGGCGCTGATGCTTGTGATATCTTGGCAAGTTATCGAAAAAGTGTATGAAGGACATCCTTCAAATATGTAATGAGGGGCTAAACATTCAATTTGCTATTCTCCATTGCCACTCAATGCTAAATCCAACGAAAGTAAAAGGATACGCAGAACATGTCCCATTCTATCCGAGGCAAAACAGCCATTGTTACTGGCGCTGGTAGTGGCATCAACCTTGCATTTGCTGAACAGCTTTTGAATGGCGGATGCAACGTCCTTTTCGCCGATCTCGCTCTACGACCAGAAGCTCAGAAGCTGGTGGACTCCTATTCCGGCGGTGCCGAAAGCAAGAGCCAAGCTGTTTTCCAGCAAACTGATGTTACCAACTGGTCTCATCTCGAGCGAATGTTCGAAAGGGCAGAAGAGGAATTCGGCGACATTGACATCGTCTGCCCCGGCGCTGGAGTTTACGAACCGGTATGCACTCAAGGTCTCCTAAGTCAGCTGCCACTGACCCAGTAGTGACCTAGAGCTTTAGCAGCTTTTGGTATCCTCCTGGAACCCCACAAAGCAAAGATACTCTCCATGACGGTCGCTATGCTAGTATCGACATCAACTTGGTTCATCCTATCAGGACCACTCAATTGGCGCTGTCTCGCTTCTTGAGATACGAAAAGAAACCTCGGACAATTGTAATAATCTCGAGCACGAACGCCCAAGACACATGTCTCTCTACAGCGATTTATGATGCAACAAAACATGCGATTAGTGGATTCGTACGGGCGATGGCCAAGATCGACCAAGTCGGCGTCCGTATCGCCGCAGTCGCACCAGGCATCATCAAAACGCCTCTCTTCATGGAGAACCCAGACAAGCTTGCCATGATCGATACCAGCAAGGACGTTCTGGTCGAGCCGTCTGAAGTTGCTATTGTCATGGTTGCATTGATTGAAAGGGACAGCATCTGCTCGACCATTGACCAAGCGAGGACTGGACCACAGGACATTGAGATCAAGAGCGGGTCGGTAATTGAAGTGACAAAGAACAGAGCTCGTGCTGTCAATGCATATCACGATCCGGGTCCTTCGGGTGCTGGGGCAGTTGGGTCCAACTTTGCCACTTCGGAGTACACCACGTTGGCTTTACTGTTGACTCCAGGATGGGGAGAAGCTAGTGTAAAGGCGAACAGCAATTTCTGATCAGATCATCAGAATAAATCCATTTTTAGCAGAGCCTCGACCAAATTAATTCCCTGCAAACACTCATTAATGCATGCATGTTCTGGTAGTAGTCCAAATGAATCTCCTTCAAGCTCTGATACTAGAGTAGTTGGCACACAAGCTCAGCTGCTGTTAGTTCGTAAACAAGAGGTTTGTAATGTTAAGGTAGGTAGACCTGCAGAAGCATCACCTGTGTATATGTCGAAGCGCATCCGGTAATCTCAAGAGAGGCGGTTAGGTCAGAAGTTTGATAGGCGTCCAGTGGACCGCCGAAACTCCGTAACTGCTGTGCTACGTAAAGCGACATGCGATAGGCCAAGGCATGTTGCACTCGGTCTGAGGGGAGTCAAGGCACGTCGCAGCCTCAACTCCGTCTACTAAATCATCACGCGCCTCAAGATATCTTGATATACTATCCAATTGACGCCTGTCTCCATGCGGCGAACGTAGATAAGTGGCCAAACCGTAAAGGGGTTCGCGATGCCGCTACTCCCAGCAAAGTAAGTCCAGACTGTGCCATCCTAATTGTGCCTAGTGCAACGCGTGGTTACACCAGAGACCGCGATCTCGCCTCATTTCCCCGCACGATAACGAGCATCCCTGGAAAAGCTTATCTCGGCACTCTTGGCCCTGGGGGAACTCCTTGGCATTCTTATCAGCTCCCTTGCAGTCTATGAACCCTTCGTGATGGAGTCTATTTAAGATATATCCCATCGTGTTGAATGTTTTTACTGCTGAGAGCAACAGGAACTCACATAGAACAAGATCTGGCAGATATCGCCAGCTATTTTCACCATGGCCGACCCGACTCCTCACCAGGTTACAGAAGGCCACTTGCGGCCGCGTCTGAGTAAGTTGACTATGGTTGCAATGACGTTCGCGATTCTCAAGTAAGCAGACCCGCATTCCCATTTGTGCCAAGGACTCATAAACTGACTTCTACAGCACTTGGATCGCGTTAGGTGGCACAATTGGCATAGTCATGCCGTCTGGAGGCCCAGTCGCGCTCCTGTACGGCTTTATCTTTTGTGTCGCTTGCAATTTCGCTCTAGCCTTCAGTCTTGGTGAACTTGCAGCTATCTGGCCAACAGCAGGTGGGCAATATCATTTCGTATACGCTCTCAGTAGTGACAGATGGAAGAGGTTCTTGGTATGTACCCTTCTACAGCCGATAACCCAACAGAAGTTAACAAACTGAAGAGTCTTTGTGCGGGATGGATCAACATTGCTGGTTGGCTCACACTTGTAACTACCGAAGCGATCTTTTCTGGTGAGTCTTCCGTATCAAGCAAGTAGGCCTTTTTCGCTCATTGGAATCAGCCATGTTTATTGCTGCCGCTATTGTCGTTGCGTCGGGGAGATCCACGCCAGTCGACTCTTGGACCACATACCTTGTCTTCCTTGCCATTATCACATTTTCGACCATCGTGAATATCTGGGGCAATTCGATCCTTGGACCTTGGAGCAACTTCGCTCGTAAGTCTTACCTTACGAAACTTAAGATGTAGCTTTCTAACATTATCATCAAGTCTACTGGTCAATTATGAGCGTAGTCATCATCAGTATCATTCTGTTATCCATGTCAGAAAAGACCAGCGCTGAATTCGTTTTCACAACATTCAACAACGAAACAGGATGGTCAGACGGAATGGCATGGCTTCTAGGTCTACTGCAATCAGCTTTGTCATTGATTGGATTTGATGCGGTTCTGCACATGACCGAAGAAATGCCCAATCCCCATTTGGATGCTCCCCTTGCAATTGTCTATGCCATCGGCGTTGGCGGTTCTACGTGAGTATTGCAAACCTGATCAAAGCATTCTGCATGAGATGCTGACTTCAACAGTGGCGTGATCTTTATCCTAGTGATCCTCTTTTGTCTGACTGATATCGACAAGGTTGTGAGCTCACCAACTGGCCAACCTCTGATCGCTCTTTTCGACCAAGCCACGAACAGCCGAGCAGCATCTACCATCATAAGCTGCATGCTAGGGTTGTGTTTCATCCATGGCACAAACGGATCTGTCACCACCACAAGTCGACTGATATACTCCATGGCTCGAGATAATGGCTTCTTTTTGTCTCGATATTTCAACCATATCAACCCAAAGTTGGAGGTTCCAGTCCGCACGATCATCTTCACCTACATCTTCAATGTGCTATTTGGTGCCCTTTATCTAGGACCCTCGGTGGCCTTCAACGCATTTATCGCATCTTGCACGATTCTTCTGAACATATCATATGCTTTCCCAATTTTCGTTTTGATCATTCGAGGCAGAGGCATCCTCGCTCCCCATCAGCACCCCCATACGCCGTGGAAGCTTGGCAACTTCTGGGGATATCTAGCCAACTGGACGGCTTGTATATATGTGTCGGTAACTTCAGTGGTATGTTGGTTCCAGCGAGGTGAAATGATTTCTAACATGCACACAGCTTTTCTGCTTCCCTCCATCTTTAGATGTCACTGGAAACACGATGAGTCCGTACTTTCTGTCTTTTGTAGCTAGTCGTCTGCTCACATCATCACAGATTATGTTTCTGTCGTCATAGCAATCTGCTGCCTCGCTATTGCTATTTACTGGATTACTCGCGGGAAGACCTTTGAGGGGCCTGTGAGTCTTCTCTCTCTAGAATGTTGGCCGATGCACGATGCTAATTGGTGGCTCAGAACCTCGAAACCATTATGGCGCAAAGAGAAGACGTCGTTCAAGCGCCTAGTCATGACAGACGTGGCGAGAAAGAAGATATTCATGATCATTCTGTTTCTGCCTAGATCATAGAGCAGACTTACCTTATTAGGATACAGTAATATGTTTTTTCCATCTGTAACTATAAGTAATTTATTAAAATCTTGAGTTACGTTTGCTAAATTATGTTAAATATGGGATGCTGAAATTAGCACTTATAAATAATTTAGGCAAGTCTTTTGGCTTTCTATAAAGTAATAATAAGCTAGAACAATAGTAATATAATAATGTAAGGGAAAAGGAAGTAGTATATTAGTTATTAAACTCTTTAGTTATCAAGATAGCTGGTCTGTAAGAAGGAGAATGTGTAGGGTAGCAGCTAATTTATTTCAGGGTCGGGATTTAAGCCAATAGGATTGCTAAGTTCTCTTGGCCGCCGATTTAAGCTCTTAGCCACAAGTCTCGGCTGCAAATCAAATTTCTAGCTCACAACTTAGACATTATACCAAGATATCTAACCAAATTTCAGGGTCGGGATTTCAGCCAATGGGATTACTATAAACTAGCTAGAAGTGATGTCGAGCTTTCCCTGAACCTATCTAGAGTGTTACGTCTAATAAGATAAGGTTTGCAGTACAACCCTATGACTGGTCAACTTGGCGAGATAACTACACTATCAGACCATTCTACTGTTTGTGGTGAAGTTGGATGACTAGAGCGTTTCTAATGCAAGTCTGATATGCCGATTTTACTCGATCGATTCGTCGTCGTCGGAGGGTTACCCATCTCTTGATGGTATAAATACTGCAATGCATTATATTATTTGAATGCAGTAAGAGCAATTGGCAGATTAGAAGCAATCACGTATAACATAAAATAAAAATCCTTCAAGCTTCGTCATATTGAGAGTACTTAAATAAAGGTCCATTATATTCAAGCCCCAAAACGTGGATCTGTATGCTCAAAAAGCAACAACTACAGCTTCAGGGACTTTTTACATGACATGTTCCTCCCCAAGATCTTGATTATTAACGTCATCTTTCCCGATACAGCAGGGGCATCTTCGAATGACAGGACAATGCCCTTAAGGCAATTTTGATCCTTCCTAGACCGTCTTGCTTGCATCCTTTGCCGCGTCACTTTTGCCGCGGATGATGGTGGAGAGATCGCCGAGAGGTAGCATGATGGGGAAGTCGACCGACATGAGGATAAGACACCCGAACATATACCATCCGATCAATGAAATAGCAAATAAAACGCCCCCTCCAGCATGCTGGCACTTGAGCGCGAGATCCGCCTTCCCTTGTGAAACGGCGAAGAAGGCAGCGGCAAGGCAAGAGACTATCTCAAAGTTAATGAGTGTTGTAGGAAAGAGAGATGGTTGGGCTTACAGCAAGGAATGAGAAGGAGGAGGATGGAAAACAGAGCAACATTTGTTCGAACACTCGCTATAGTGTAGAATGTGCATAGGATAGCCATGGCAACCAGAAAGAATGCGAAAGTCGAGTAGAATTGTGGTTGAGCGAGACCATTGGCAGCAGTACCATCTGTCGAATATGTGCTGTACGCGCCGGAGTCAGGGTCAATAGTCGTGGTCAGGGTGAGGAAGAAGCCTCCGAAGGTGAAGAAAACAGTCGACGGAAAGGTGTTTCCTTGAAGGCAGATGTTAGCCAAGGGATTAGAACGATGGAGGGTCAATTATTACCGAGAATCCATTCACCAATGCCTCCTAAGACTAGAAGAAGGCCACCCAGGCCAAGGTAGGCACCACTATGATCTATTAACCAGTGAACACGGTCAAAGGGGTAGCGTGACCTACACGTTCGCAGCGGCAGCAAAGCCGCCAGATCCCTGCCATCCAAGCAAGCCAATGGATAGCGGTGTGGAGCATAGCAAGAATCCCGCCAAAGCTGTGATGGTAAGTATCGTGGAGACTATTGGAGACAGTGATACATACCAACTGGAGTAGGGTTGCCAAAGGTCTTTCGAAGATCTCCCTTGACCCTATTCTGTGGCTGAAGATAGAGCTGCTCGAACAACTCTGGCGAGATGGGGATGCTCTGGGCTGTGCGGACATGGTCCATATCTTCACCATCGCTTCGAGGCTTGCCGTTGATGCTGTTACGAGGAGACATGTTGAGGTTGGTATATGAGTAGACGCGTTCGTGTCTGGGCTTGGTAGGGAAGGGTTATGAGAGACAGGGGAGCTCAAGCTTGATGACGACAAATATTGGGGGAAGCTTCAACACTTTATAGACTACAGCATAGTTACCGAGAACGAATAGAGTTTCCATATGCCCGGCCCTCGGGGTGGTGAAAGACAGCGAATGGCTTACACCAAGAACTGTTGATCTTCTACTAGCGTCTGTCGGTTTATTTTCCTTGCCGTCTAGCCTGGGTTGATAGTCTGGGGAAGTGGACTCTACCTGGACAAGGCCTGCGGAGATGTTACATTGGCTTGCAGCCAAATCCATGCACAAGAGACAGCTAGGTCCAAACCAATCTAAGATCACCCAAAATGCCGAATCGGCCTTGAAATGCCGAACAAACGCGAACCTCCGTTATCTCTGTTCCATGGATAATTGGAATCCGGGATGATGATCAACCCGGACTACTTGATACGGTGGTTTACTGGTACTTGACAGGTTGGCTTGAAGCCATATCTGTGATAAACATGGGCTGAGATACTTCGCTGTACCTGAGGCCTCACTTTATCACTATGGAGACTTTACTAGTTCTAATCAAGGAATGATCCCTCAAATTGACCAGGAACCTCAAGCACCCTCCTTGGCAAGATGAGATGCTTGGACATCAAAGTCCAAGTCATCCGGTCGAGCGGCAGACTATATAAACTACGCCGTGTCGATCAAGAATTCTACCAGCATTTTATGCCATTGTCGCAGCAGTTGGCAAAATGGTTAATAGTGCGACGACCAATAAACGTATTTATGAGCTGAATGCGGAGCGGAGACGGGTCCGAGCTGCGGGATCACCCCCGCACTTCAACTCAACAAGAACCAGTCACGAGTGAATCAGTGATAGGCTAGCGAGATGAAAGATCCAAAATGAAAGCATTGGCATGGAGATCGTGGTACATTTGGGAATTGGTCTGGTGATTAGATAGAACAAGTTAGGTCGGTGTAGAAGACGGTGAGGGATGCGTGCCGGAGGTTGCGGATATCAAATTACCGATATCTACCTTTCATGCTAGTCACTACCGTGGGTAACAGTTATCCAATCTACCAATCTGATAAAAGCACGGGTGTTTATTTGCCAGATATGCTTGCACTGACGTGCGCGCTTTGACGACGAACGATACCACGTCAACGTCCAGATCGACAGATCAGCTAGATCCGGCGCCTTCAGCTTTGACATGTTCCCACTCCGCGTCCTGAGTCAGTGCTTCCCCTTCATCGGGAAGCTGCTTTTTCAGCCCCTCAAGAATACTCTTCAGGCCATCCGAGACCTTGGGATTACCGACCCTCTGAATCCTCTGTTCCAGCTCCCTGATCTTATCTTTCAACTCTTGCGTTTTGACATCAGCCAGATCAACTACCTCGGCATCTTCTTCCTCCTCCTCCTTAGTGTCGTTCTCTTCTTCTTCTTGACGTTCAAGACCGTCCCCCCAAGCTTCCGCGAACGCCTGCGCCATGTTGTGGTCCTTGATCGCAAACACAATCTCATCAATGCATTCCCATCTCTCCTTGATCTTTGACTTATCGTGTCTTGGAGTGAGAACAGATTTCCAAGCTCTTGCGATTTCGCCAACGGGATTTCCGTGCGCGCCACAGCCCCAAGCTCCTAGTACAAGTCGTTTGCACCTTTTGACCATAGCAATCCGCATAACGGCCCTCATCTTGGTTTGCGCCGTATCGCGATCCTTCTCGTTGGCGTATGATGCTACCCCGTCCTCGTTAAGCTCGAATTCAGGGCCGCGGATCATTGCTGCCGTGATGCAGTCGACGCAGAAACGATCATTCCTGTCCAGAAGATTCCCATCTTCATCTCTGAAGACCAACAGCGTCGGACTCCAAATCGAAGACAGTTCTGGGAGCCGGTACCACTCATCCTTGAGAGATGGATATAGCGTAGTGCGCATACATAATGACTCCTCTTGACTGTTTGCACCGTTTAGAAATCCACCTCCAGGGTTCAGAGGCGAACCCATGTTCAAAATGGCCACATGAGCTTTCGTATTATCAAGATTAGCTTTGACACCAGCCGGTGTCTCAATATTAAGAAGATCTCTTGCAGCAGTAAGAGTGTCGGCTTCCCTGATTGAGATTCTTGGCGGTTTAAGCTTTGCTAAATCCTCGTGGGGATCTTGAGCGCCTTGCGCTTGTGTAGATTTGCCCCTAGTTGCTGCATCACCCTTGTCCTCCTGTTTCTTCAAAAGCACCCCATAGGGCTCAGGCAAGACTGTGGTTTTTATAAAAGGTATGAGCTCTGCTGAATTGACTCCTTTCTGAGCACCGGGATATGCTGAAAGGAGGCCGGGGATGACCTTGTTGATGGTGGCTTTGGCCTTTTTGGAGCGTGCATCTTTGCGAAAAGCCGCGGGTGGTCGGCCAATAGATGGCTCTGCGCGCCCCATAGTGGTATTCTGTCAGTCGTGAATTTCTTGGTGAGACAAAACTTGGAGTTTTGCGATGCTCGTGACTCAGTTAGGGATTATCAATTCGGGCGCCTTCAGTGGACACCTTTTGGTTGGGGACCTTGATGAGCAGCGGCCCGGATCAGCATACGGTAAACTACCTACAAAGGTGCTTTCAGTGTAAACAAAATTTAGTGGCGGCAAAGAAGGCGTCAGACAAAATTATTTGTCAAACTGAAGCATCATGCATACGCCAAATACTGCGCAGACTAGATCGCCGCCACTGATGACTGCCTGGCCTCGTCACATGATCAAGACCAAAGTCCGTCTTTCGGCCGAGACCTTGAATACGGAAAACACCAAGAAGCCGACAAACTTTAAACTCACGATACATGATACGACAATAGGAGCACGATGATCTCGATGCGAAATGATGGGACTAAAAGATTATTCATCATGTAAATCTTAGCCACGTATTCATGGCCTCAAGAAGCCAGTCAGTCTTGGCATTTGTAACAAAGACATGGAGCAGAACAACTCATACCAAGATCACATGAAGTACGACGTCTCAATATTTATAATCGCTAATTACCCTTCAGCCCAGCAACATGTGATCAGCCTTGCCAGCACATGAGTAGACCCAATTCTATGTACGATCAAACCTCGGTCGGAGTTTTGGTAGGGAACGCACGGCAAATAGTGGACTGATTGCGATCCACAGTCGGCTTTTCTCGTATCCATTTCCCCCTACAAACTCCGTCGGACATTTTAAGCATGATTCCAGCAGCCCAAGCTTCTTATCTCTAATTGACAAAACCCTTGTCTAGCACCTGTCAAAACCACGTTCCAGTGGATCTAGAGAAGAATTATCGAAAATGTCGGCGCTGCGAGACTGCGATATCCCGACCCCCCGGAGAGATTATGCAGACTTCGTCATCAAGATCTAATTACGTTCCTTGATACCCGCAAGATCGAAAGGTGCTAGGCCCCCTTCTGCCCAAATCTGTATCTCACCACGCCCAAATCCGTCCTGTGACTCCGTCGTCACAGCAGAAATCACCTGTTGCTCACCCCGGCTTCGAGGCCCGCTCACCGGCGCTCCCGACGAAATGGAACCCCAATCTCGCCATACTATTATAAAGGGCTCGTCCTCCCGTCTTGGAAGTCCTTTTGAGGAATAGTATGAGCAATCATTGCAGATTCACAACAACATCATGTCTTCTAGACCAGATTTGCCAAGCTCTTGTGTGAGCGACGATGAAACACTACGACAAAAGACACCAGAGTCCAAACCGCGACATAGCTCGTTGGTAAAACTTCTTTTTGACAGAACGAGAGTTGATCAAGCTGTTGAGAACCATAACTATCCTGGATCAGGCTCTTTCGAAGATCCTTTCGTTGTTAGTTGGATTCCTGATGATACAGGGAACCCGCTCAATTGGCCTAAGTGGTTGAAATGGACCATCACCATGGTTTCAGCCGCAACGTGTTTTGCTGTCGCGTTTAGTTCAAGTGCCTATACAGGTCAGTATTATAGCCCTCGCCAATCGATGTAGCTGACATGTCATATGACAGGTACCATCGTGCCGCTCATGATCCACTTCAAAGCAAGCCATACACTCATCACTGCTGGAGTCTCCCTCTACGTCCTCGGTTTTGCAGTCGGGCCTCTCCTCTGGGCACCGCTTTGCGAAATTTACGGTCGGCAAATTATCTTCATTATCAGCTATGGCTGTTACGTCGTGTTCAGTGCAGCATGCACAGCAGACAATGGCGTCGCAACTCTTCTGGTCCTTCGCTTCTTCTGCGGTACCTTTGGCTCATCACCTCTGACCAATGCTGGAGGTGTTATCTCTGATATCTTCAATGCTGACGAGCGCGCTATCGCCATGGCGTTCTTTTCTTTGGCGCCTGCACTGGGACCTAGTTTGGGCCCCTTCATCGGTGGATACTTGAGTGACGGTCAAGGTTGGAGATGGGTAAGTCAACAAGTCTTTGGTTTCGGAATCACACACTAACCATATTCTCCAGGTGATGGGGTTGATGGCCATTGTTGCCGGATTCTTCTGGGTGCTTGATATGTGCTGCGCTCCCGAAACCTACGCACCTTTCATTCTCCAGAACCGGGCCGACTTCTTGTCCAAGGAAACTGGCAAGATTTACATCTCCATCTATGAACATCAGGGCAAAGCCGATCCACCAGCTGTCGTCCTTAAGAAAGCCCTCATTCGTCCTTGGCAACTTCTATGCTTCGAACCCATCGTCCTTCTCCTCTCGATTTACGTCGCTATTCTCTTTGGAACTCTTTACATGCTCTTCGGTGCATACCCTGTTGTCTTCCAGCTTGAGAGGGGTTGGTCTGCTGGCAAGGGAGGCTTGGCCTTCCTTGGAGTTGCTGTCGGGATGATCAGTGCAATTCCTACGATTGGCCTCATCAACATATGGTACATGAAGGTCACGAAAAGGTTTGGTAATGAACCTGTGCCTCCTGAGTATCGTCTCCCAGGATGTATGCTCGGCGGTATCTGTGTCCCTGTTGGCATGTTCTGGTTTGCATGGTAAGTTCATGTCCTGGTGCAGTATCCTCGGATACTAACAGTTAACAGGACATCGTATCGTTCAGTCCATTGGATGTCCCCAGTAGCCGCAGGTGCCCCCTTCGGTCTTGGCATGTCTCTCGTCTTCCACAGCATCTTCAGCTACCTCATCGATTCATACACCATCTACGCTGCATCAGTTTTAGCATCAAATGCTGTGCTACGAAGCCTTTTTGGAGCCGCCTTTCCTCTTTTTACTAAGCAGATGTACGACAACCTGGGAACTCAGTGGGCCAGTTGTGTACCGGCTTTTCTATCACTCGCCTGTCTACCGATGCCTTTCATCTTTTTCAAGTACGGCCCTGCTATTCGACAACGATGTAAATACTCGGCAAGGGCTGCACAAGCGTTGGCTATGGCAAAGAAGGGCTAGGTATTTGGCGGTTGCCAGATTGTTTCTTACTAATTTCTACTTCATACTGCGTCTTAACATTAATGGACCAAAAGCGGCATACGGAAGGAGTTATTGGATCACATTAGGAATAGAACATTACATCAGCCATAGATTATATAGAGTCAACTCAACTTTGTACATTTACCCCAATCATGCCTAACGAGGCTGAGTCTTGTTGTCCTGCAGCTTCGATTGGTGGAATACTAGTGAGTCAGCAGGGCACAAGCAATAATAATTCTCAATCAGGCTGCGATGAGAGAGCATTTTCCCTCATATCACCACAGTTGCTCCCAACCCTGCCGGAAATCCATTGCCCCTCACCGATGGATCCTGTCACGGCCGTTGGCCTGGCATCGGCCATCATTTCCTTCGTTCCTCTTGGTGTCAAACTATTGCAGAGCGTGCGGGAGATCCGTGAGTCCGTCGACGGTAGCGTCGAGAAAAACCAGACGCGAAAGGCCATAGTGGATGAGATGCAAGCAATCTCTCGGCGACTGAAGCCAGCAGTTCAAACTGGGGTCTTGCCCGAGCAGAGTGGCCTTTACGACCTCGCGCTGAAATGCCACGATTTATCACAGAAGATCCTTGAACTTCTCGATAAGATCAGACCGAGAAATAAGGGCTCTTTTGAAAATTATCGGTCTGCGTATAGGGCTTGGAGTTGCGAAAGCGAGATCAAGAATCTGGAGAAACAGCTGAATGACTGTCGGAGTCAGCTAGCATTAGGCCTAGTAGATCTTTCAAGGTATCAAACTCCCCAACATTTTTATACATTTAAGTTACAGGATCTCACAATCGTATGTAGTCAAGAATCAATAGGGTACTCGAGAAAGCTTTTAGCCATGGTCTTGGATGATGCATCACGACTAGTTGAACTCCAAAGACACATAGAAACACTGAGGAATGGTGTTCAAGTCGACCAAATCGGCAGAGAGGCCAGGATTCAGCTGCAGAGTCTTCTGCATCTTCAAAACGAAGCCCTCACCATCATTTACCAGAATCGTATTCTTGAAGGCATTAGATTTGAGAGTATGCACGAGAGAGATGACAGAGTGCATTACCCCCATGAGCAAACTTTCAATTGGCTCGTGGAAGACCATAGGGCTGAGAACGAAACAACAGGATTGAGCAAGTCTGACAGCCCTGAGATGCACAAAATGAAGTTAATGTCTAAAAAGCTCTTTATAGGTTGGCTTTCTTCACCAGAGGGTATTTTCCATGTCTCAGGGAAACTGGGATCAGGCAAGTCCACATTAATGAAGCTGCTATGCACACATGGGCAAACTCGGATTGGGCTTCAGAAGTGGGCAGGTACGTTGTCACTTACACCGAGCTTTGTCTGCCATGGAAAGCTTATAACTCGCTGCAGGAAACAAGTCCCTCCTCATCACTCAGTTTTTCTTTTGGAAACCTGGAACTGAAATGCAAAAGTCTCTAAACAGTCTCTACCGATCTCTCTTACACGACATACTCCATGCTTATCCTGAACTTACCAGAAATACTTTGCCGCATGTCTGGAAGGAAGTCGAGAACAGCCCTTGGCAGATACAGACCAAGCTGGCTTTGACGATTGATGTTGCAAAGTCTGCTCTCGAACAAATCATATACAATAGCGACTTGTGCGCTCAAAACATTTGTTTCTGCTTCTTCATTGATGGTCTTGATGAGTACGACGACTCACATAGCCGAGATCATCTTCATCTTGTGAATCTGTTGAAACATTGGGTCCAGAATTCGCAGGGGAGGCTGAAGATCGTAGTCTCCAGCAGAGATTACAATGTGTTTCTAAACGGGTTTTCATCGGAGTATCGGCTTCAACTTCACAAACTTACCTGGTTCGATATGAGATTTTATGTGCGAGATTCGCTATGCCACATTTCAGACTCGGACCTCAAGGAGCATTTGCTCACAGCCATTCCTAAGAAGGCCAATGGGATCTTTCTCTGGATAATTCTGGTAGTCAATGAAATTCGGAAGAAGATCGAAGACGAAATATCGCAAGATCAACTACTTCAGCTTCTTGACAGTCTTCCGCCTGGCCTTGAAGCGTTGTTTGAGCATATACTGAGCGGCCTTGATAGGAATAGCCAAAGGGCTGCTTATCAAACCATGTCCCTACTTAGGACCGCCATTGACAACCATCTGACCTTCGCTCTTATGGAGTTCTCATTCCTCGAAAACTATCAAAAAGACTCAAATTTCTCTACCCGGGAGGCATTCTTGTCCAACTATGCGAGAGAGGTAGATGAAGTGAGGATACCGGAGGTTTACGAAAAAAGGCTGCGTGGTATCTGCGGCGGCCTTGTTGAATGTCACCAGTCCACCGCGAAGTATTACAAAGGTTGGGGAAGCCTCAGCTTCACCCACCGATCTATTCCTGACATGCTTGGAAGAGCAAAGCTCAAAGCAGAAATACAAACATACCTTGAGGGTTTTAATAGTATCGACGCCCTTTCTCACTTGATTTTCGCAGCGGCACAGTTCAGGAAGAATAAATCGGGAGCTAGGCCCTCGTGCGCGGGCCTGACTTGGATGCGGCTGGCGGCGAGTATTGATGAGCCCCCATATAGCTTCCTTCACTGCATTTCGTCATGGTTTGGTGATCCATTCGACGTGATCCCTGAGCCAAATCGTCTTCTATTGCACCAAAGCGTTCAAGTATTTACCAACCAAGGCCTACAAAGCTTGGTTCGATATGGATCGATCACAAAACGTGAGACCTTCAGCACGATCTGCCAAGGAGCACTCATAGGGAATGTTGAATATGTTGAATGGGAATTTAAGAATAGCCCCAAAGCTATTGATAAGGCTTGGAAGAGAGTACTTGTTGCCAACGCCCTTCTGGACACCTATCTTCGAGATGGTCTGCCTATCCAAGCACTGAGCTACTTCTTCAAAGGTGCTTTTCTGTCTCAGGAGCGCCCTTACTTCGGCGTCAATCACCTTCTAACCAATGAACAACTAGAGGATGCCTTCGCAGATATCTCCCACTCATCTACGGGCTTAAGCTATGCCCTCTTAGAAGACCTTACCGTTTGGGAAAGATTTCTAGTCTCTTGCTTCCTAGGCTGGATTGGTATGAAATATCCTTTTCATACTGATCGGTTTGGGCTTGCTGTTGCACAGTTTCTCTTGCACGGAGCCCCTTCTGAGTTCCGTGTCGTTATCGGGCGCATTCAGCGCCTGAGATTCCCCTTCTATCTCATGTTTCACTTTCCCATGCCCAATAGTCCATTGTCAGTTGAGATTCGAGAGGATGAAGGAATCTCAAATGAGGTGATCGAGAGGTGGGTTAAGTACGGCAGTAAGCCAAGCATGTCTATGTCACTTCGCGAATGGGTACAGACCGTGAGTCCGAAAAACAAAATTGCCATACTAGAGATCCTAGACACGGCCAAAGAGCACCTTCCAGGCTCAAGAGAGAGCGATAAGGGCCCCAGGGCATCAAACAGAACAACTCCGCTGGTTACAAAGCTTCCAGTCGTGGTTAGTCCCAGTCCTTATCGACAGATGATTCTCCATAGAGTTTTCCCAGGTTAGTTTAAAAACAGCGATATTTATACAGGGATATACTTAACTGACATGACGGCAGCTTTGGTGTTAGTATTGGCGCTGTATATTGGTTGGAACACGTTCTATCAGCGAATCGAATATAGGAAGCCTGGGATCGCTGATTGATAAGGACCTCTGTTTGAACATGACTCTGAGATCACCTAAACAGACTGTGTCGATAGTAGCCATGAGTTTTATGCTTATTCGACTATTCACGGCCTATCTAGTCTCTAGACTTCAGAAGTCCTCGGCAGTCAAGCCAACATCCTTCACCTTGGCTAAACGAAGTAGCTCCTGGCCAATTGAGAGATCCATGACACCAGTACCAACACTCTTGTAAATAACAAATCCAGTTTCAAGCCACTTTCTCAGGTCATCGGGGTTCTCCGTGTTCTTCTTTTGGAATAGTTGGCCAACCTCAAGCATTTTTTCTGTAGGGATTCCAGCTTTGACCAGTTCTCCAGCCTCTTGCAGACATCCTTCTCGGCTGTCGACTGCAACAGATCCATCCTGATACCCCACAGATGCAAAAGGCCCTGCCGGGTTGATCACTTGCTTCAGAAGCTCCGGGTCGATTTCTTGCATGTCAAGGCGGTAAGAACCGATCGCCGCCAGATACCGGGTCTTGCTCAGGGCCTTCTCGGAAGTGAGGTATGATGCTGGGAACAAAGGTTCGGTGCTTGGTGTTGTAAAGAACAAGACGTCCGCATCTACGACCAGAGCCTCCAAAGCGGCGTCGCGGTCATTCTTAGGGTCAAAGGCCTCGAGGCTGATATGCGATGGCCATGGCGATTGAGCATTTGACTTGAGTGAGTCTATCAACTGCTGTGTCCTCTCCGCAGAGCGGTTGACAATGGTAACGGACTTGATGTCCTTCTCCTTCAACAGAAGTGCCAATCGAATGTGCCATAGAGCTTGCTTCCCCGCACCAAACACGACGATATTCTCTGTGTTACGCCTGAAACGATACGGCAGCATTGACCCCAGCGCAGTTCGGAACGCGGTGAGAGCAGCTGCATTGAGCGTTCCGATGGCTTGACCTCTAGCGTCGCACAGAGTCAAGACACTCTTGAGACCTGCTTCAGAAGGCTTGAGCTTTTCGCTTGGGGTGACACCGACGATCTTGACACCGATCAATTGGTCGGTAGTTCCAGGCATGAACAAGCTGATTTGGCCATCTCGATTGACGACGGCACGGTGAGGCTGGTATTGCTGTTCATTGTTGCATGAATATTGAATGAGGGCTTGCTCAAGAGCCTTTGCAAGATCAGCCACGTCAGATGACGATAACGTGTCGAGGATGTGATTGACGTTGGCGTCTGAGAGTACTGTGAAAGGCATCTTTGAGGGCTATTTTGAGGGCATCGGTAACGAGAGATGGGACGATGTTGCTGGTGATAAGCCGGACGAAATGAAGTTGGTGTTCGGGTTCTAATAATGCCGCTATCGGACGCGGCCTCTATCGGCTCTAGCGGGGTCAAGCGGGGAGCCAAGGCCCGATCGGGGCTGTCACTAAATCCTGTCGCGAATGCTTTCCTTTCTCAATTACGCCCAAAGAAAGATGGACCATTCATTGTCTTGTACATATACTAGAATTAGATCTATGGAGAATCTGCATATTAACCACTATTTATATTCCTTATCAAGTGCACTGTCAGATACTTTCAGGCCAGGATCCCATTGTTCCCTTTCTCATCCCTCTCAGTGATCGAAGAATCACTCTGGGCATTTTGAACGACTTCGGGCTCGCTTTCAACTGGACCCTGTCCCCTCAAACCCCGGTAAACTGTCTTCAACTGAGGCCAACCATCAATGATGGGGTAGAAGCCTGCGACGAACATGGTTCCCCATACCCAGATAATGGCGATAACAATCCAGGCAACAAAGAAGCTCTTACCGAAGACATATTTGGCTGCGTACATCGGAAGAGGCCTGGATTTAGTCTGTTAGTCAATGTTATGCTGAACCAGGGATAAAGTGTATCTTACCATAGAACCCAATGTCCCAAGAATGTAGCCGCAGACCAAATCGCCGCAAGAGTGCCCCAATGCTTGAGCTTCGCTTTGTCGGCGGTGTAGCTAGCCACCTTTTCTTCGTGTGTTCTCACTTCTTCCTTCGTTGATCCAACCTGGTCGAACGCAAGACGCTCGTTTCTGAAGTCAGCCCACTGGTAATTCGCAGGCTTGATGAGCGAAATCACGACTGAGTACAGGGCTGGGCTCAAAGCAGAAGCGACAGTTCCGTAAACACAAGGAAGAGACTTTCCGGTTGATGCCACTGTGACTTCGCCATATAGCGAAGATGCTGAACCAAGCCAAACAGCGATACCAGTTGCCATGCCCAGAAGAGGTGAGACGATAGCAGCAATCTTTGACTGCTTTCTCCATAGAATAGTAAAGACGGTTGGGAAGATACCAGGGCATGTCAAAACACCCAGCATGTACAGAGTCCATCCAAGATCAACCTTTCCATAGTAGAGGGCGGTGGAGAAGGCGGCGGAAAAGAGACCGAAGAAGACGACGCCGATGTGACTCCACCGAATGGCGTCACGATCAGTTGCGCCACGGTTAAAGTACTGGCGATAGATGTCAAAGCTGATGATGGATGACACGGAGATGACCTGGGCGCTGATTGTTGAAGTGACAGCCATGAAAGTGATCAACAGAACGGCGGCAGCACCGCCTTTTCCGGCGATCGCTATCGCGGCATAAGGCAACACGAGACCATTCGAGATCTCCACTGAAGACATCCGACGAGGGTATGTCGGGAACCGCGGAGTATCCTCAAGGGCGAGAGCGGAAAAGCTCATCAAAGTGCCGAGACACCATGGGATGGCAAAGTAGGCGATGCCTCCAATAATATAGCCTGGTACAACTGCCTGAGGTGCAGCACTAAAGGCTTTAGCGAAGAAGCCAGTGTCCATGATGACGAGACCGAAATTGGCCAGAACGTGGATGATGCCGAAGTATATAGCCTGCATGTTGTCAGTGAGCGTCTCATAGTTTCAACTAGCTAACTCACATCTTTACTTGTCATGGTCAAGAATGATCCATCGTGATTACCAGCAACGGGATGATCCTTTCCAACCTGAACGATCAGATCATAGAGACCGCCAGGTGATCCAATCTCGGGGACAAGGAATGCTTTGATAGTGAAGAAACATATGATGATCGTAATGACGAAGGTATGGAAGTAATCAGTCAGGAAAGTAGCTTTGATGCCACCGACAAAAGTATACAGAACCACGCCTACGGGTAGCAAGAACGTAGCGGCGATAATATGGATACCAGATCTGGTCAAGTCAATGGGCTGTCCATTAAATAAGAGAAGCAACTTACAGCGCGGATATAGCAGCACTTGCGCCAAGGAGCATGTTTGCGATAGCGATGATGTTATTGATCAAGCACAGACCAATCCAGACAATATGACCCGAAGTACCATATCGTATACGGACAATCTCGAGTAGTGTATGCGCTTCGGGTACTCTGAGCTTGCAGGAGATACCAAGTAGAGCAAAGAATACGATCATGGGCGAGCATCTGGCAAGGGTCAATAACTACCGAGGATGACCGCGGGGGGAAGTTACGTACCCAGCTGCAAACCAGAACGGCCCAGCGACACCAAAGTTGTATCCAACAAGAGTACTTCCAAGCATAGCCGTACTCCAAAGCCAAGAAGAAATAACAGCAGACGAAGTCAAACCAGTGCCAACGCTTCGATTGGCTGTCATGAACATCTCGGTCGTCTTGTTATCTTCACCGACAGTCTTCTTCAAGATGTGAGTTAAAAACATCATGATAAACGCGATAAGGAATCCAATCGCGATAACGACGACATAGCCGACAGCTTGTGAAAGCGGTGGCTCAATGCCATTCTCGCTTGCGTCTGCTCGAACGTGAAGCGACATTTTGGCCAAGAGTCTTGGGGATGTGAAAGATCCAGCAGTTCGGTTTGGCTTCTCGGCATTTTGGGCTCGGGGGTCCGTGTGATAGCTTTATGTTGAGCGATCGGCAGGCACGAATCCATGTCGTTTGTATAGCTTTGATGATGCAATGGACTATCATTTGCTAGATAACTGCCGGGCATCAATCTGATGAACCGTGGAGGTCAGCGGGGGATCTCATTAGTCGATAGAGTTCCGCCAGACCGGATATCTTCCGAATCCCAGGATCCAGTCCTTCTTCCTATCTAAATTATATCACTATTAGTGTGCTTGTGAAATTTGGGGCTTGTGATAGGCGATAAGAGTAGTCTTCATATGTTCATGGGGTATGGCGCGAGAGCTCCTAGCGATGGCGACAGTGCCAATCGCTGTCACGTCATTCAGCAACAATGTGAGAAAAAGCGGAAGAATATTATCGCCAAGCTTATCTAGGAACCAGCATATTCAGATGCAACAAATCAATAATGATGTTCTAGATGGAGAATGCGCCCTTGTCAGATGGTGGGGACAGGCATTCCATGCATGGTAGGGGAGGAAAGAAAATACAGGACCTCAACCCTAAATGACAAAAAGACTTAGGTAAATCTAGCCTAAGCTTAGGATAACTTTTGCCAAGTTTATTTTAAAACCCCGCAGTAAAGTCTGCTGTTTTATTGCCCCCTGAGGGCATGTTACACACAGCGGGAATATTGTGAAGATTATTGGTAAATCAGAGGGCGCACTGAGAATGCTCAATATTTAATACCTGAGGCCAAAACGCAGCAATGTAGTCTATTAGATGACTTTGCATAATCACGCTGCGGTGTGAGGCCGGCAAGAAGACCATGATCTTTCCCCTCGTCATCATTGCAGGCTGACGCTAAGTCTAGGCCGGGGAATCTATAGAATGAAGGAGACGAGTAGAATTTATCTTTCTAAACTCACTGGTCGGTCTATTCTTGATTCCTGGAATTTCACTCCAAATTCCACATTTCTCTTATCGTGGATCCCGTCTCGGCGATCGGATTAGACGATTTTGACCTTTGTTGAAGCGGGTCTCAAGCCC